GCAGTGAGGCGATAGGCAGAAAGAAATTTTGAAAAAGGTATTGCAGACAAATGTAAAACAGAACCAGGTCTATTCTATAAATTCATAAACAACAAATTGCAGGTAAAGGATAATATTTAGAGGTCAAAAATGGGAAATAGATTCATGGAAAATGAAAAGGAAATGTGTGAAACACTAAACGAAAAGTTCCAAAGTGTGCAGGCGATGAGTCACAATAACGTGGCTGAAGTATGTTGACCAGACCACACACACTAGAAGTTGAAGGGACGACGACGTTTCGGTCCGTCCTGGACCATTCTCAAGTCGATTGTGATGAGGACAGGTAGGGACAGGCAATAAATAAGGGATAAGGGTAACATAAGCTTACCCCTTCCATTTATCTTTCTTTTTCTCTTTCCTTTTCTTTCTCTCTTCTCCCCTTTTTCTGTGCATTGTCTTCTCCTACGCTCCCTTGCTATCCTACAATACAATACAATACAATTTTATTTAGGTAAGGTACATACATACAATAAATATTTACAAGGATTGTTTAACTTATAGGTATAGCTAGTACATACAATGCCTAAAGCCACTATTACGCAAAGCGTTTCGGGCATGATAAACTTAAATGACAAGCTTAATACTAATTGAGCATAATGAGTAGAATGAAAACAAGAAATGAAAACATAGATGAAAAAGCAGCACAAATACAATTATGTCGACAAACAGCGCTCTTTAAAGAAAAAAACAGACATTGGTTGACAATAGAAGGGTAAGGTAGGTTACAGGGAATTTATTAGGTATAGCTTCGCTTTTAACTTAAACTGGTTGAGAGAGGTACAGTCTTTAACATGGTTGGGAAGGTCATTCCACATTCTGGGTCCCTTGATTTGTAGAGCATTTCTAGTTTGATTAAGTCGTACTCTAGGAATATCAAAACTGTATTTATTTCTGGTGTGATGCTCATGGGTTCTGATACAACCTTCTATGAAGCTTTTGAGATCAGGATTGGCATTATAGTTTAGCGTTTTATATATGTATAATACACATGAGAGAATGTGCAGTGACTTAATGTCTAACATATTCAGAGATTTAAGTAGGGGTACCGAGTGATGTCTGGGGCCAGAATTGGATATTGTCCTAATAGCAGCTTTGTGTTGAGTAATTAGAGGACGTAAGTGATTTTGGGTAGTAGAGCCCCAAGCACAAATACCATAGTTGAGATATGGATAGATAAGGGAGTAATAGAGAGTCACCAGGGCAGGGCGTGGTACATAATATCTGATCTTAGAAAGAATGCCCACAGTTTTTGAAACTTTTTTTGATATGTTTAGAATGTGTCCCTGGAAATTAAGCTTGTGGTCAATGAGAATGCCAAGGAATTTGCCATCTAATTTGTTACAAATTTGGGTATTGTTTATTTTGAGATTTATTTGATTAGAGGATTTATTGCCAAACAGAATATAGAAGGTTTTGTCAATGTTAAGGGTGAGTTTGTTGGCAGTTAGCCACAGATGGACTTTATTTAGCTCAGTATTTACTGTGGCATTTAGAGCAAGGGGATCAGGACTGGAGTAAATGAAGGTTGTGTCGTCAGCAAATAGAATTGGTTTGAGGTGTTGGGAGGCATTTGGAAGGTCATTAATGTAGATGAGAAAGAGGAGAGGGCCAAGTATGCTGCCCTGGGGAACACCAATGTTGATGGGTAGGGTGGGAGAAATTGTATTATTCACAGAAACATATTGCATCATCCATCTTCTAACATCAGAGAAAACATCCTCTTCTTATTCCTATTACTATCTCCTTCGGTGGTTATAATAGGAGCTGCCTCGTATGGGCCAATAGGGCTTCTGCAGTTATCATTATTACTACTATCCCCTACACCTTACTTTCCTCCTCAGCTCTCTCTTGCCTGTTTATTGCCTGTCCCTACCTGTCCTCATCACAATCGACTTGAGAATGGTCCAGGACGGACCGAAACGTCGTCGTCCCTTCAACTTCTAGTGTGTGGTCTGGTCAACAGTTCCAAAGTGTGTTTGTACAAAATGAAATCTTCAGAGAACCAGACAATAAGAATTCTAGAGAACAACATAGAGCACGTAGAGGTGTCTAGAGATGAAGTGGAAAAAAATGCTCAAGGAGCTAAGAAAGAACAAAGCAGTTGGTCCAGATGGAATTTCACCATGGGTTCTGAGAGAATGTGCACCTGAGCTCAGCATTCCACTTCAACTGATTTTTCAGGCATCCCTGTTTACAGGAGTTGTAGCTGATGTGTGGAAAAAGGCTAACATAGTTCCAATCTACAAAAGTGGAAGCAGGGAAGACCCCCCTGAATTATAGACCTGTATCATTGACAAGTGTAATAGTCAAAATATTGGAAAAAATAATTAAAACTAAATGGGTGGAACACCTGGAGGAAAACGATATAATATCAGACAGGCATTATGGTTTTCGATCTGGAAGATCCTGTGTAACGAACTTACTCAGTTTTTATGATCGAGCCACAGAGATTTTACAGGAAAGAGATGGATGTGGTTGACTGCATCTATCTGGACCTAAAAAAGGCTTTCGACAGAGTTCCACATAAGAGGTTGTTCTGGAAACTGGAACATATTGGAGGGGTGACAGGTAAGCTTCTAACATGAATGAAAATTTCCTGACAAAAAAATGAGCGCCGTAATCAGAGGCAAGGTATCAGATTGGAGGAATGTCACAAGTGGAGTACCACAGAGTTCAGTTCTTGCACCGGTAATGTTCATTTCTGACCAGGGGGAGAAAGATACTGGCAGTATGGGGCGTTAAAGTTTATTGAAGATTAAATTCTGCAGAACATGTAAATATATAAAGTTCAAATATAAAGTAAGTAATTATATAAAGTTTATATTAAACACGGTTTATATTATAGACTTATAACAAAGTTGATATTATTAAACTTAATATTGAACATGTAAATATATAAAGTTTCAAAATATATAATTTAAGGACTATATAACGTTTATATTAAAATATATAAAGTAAATATATAAAGTAAGAATTAACAGTAACAATTCCAAGTCCGAGGACTAGATTTAACTTAAAAGGTACACCCGTAGTAAGTATGAGACCTTAGCCTATAGTGACATGGAAACTAATTCTGCAGAAACCTAAAGGTTAACTGGTACTAGAATTAAGGCCGAGTGCAAATGTGTAGTAATTATATAACACTAGGATATAACAGGCAGGACACAAAGAATAACTAATAAGTGAGAGACCACATAACACGTAATGTACCCGGCCAAGAGGCCGTAAAAGACCTAATGGATAAGGAGAAGGGGGTGTGACTACAAGTAGGGCTTACTAGCACCTAGACTGGGCAAAGTATTAGCTGCGGACAGCGGGACACTTGGGGACCGGCGCTGCACCCCCCTTCCCACATGCAGTGGGGAGACAAACGGGACAACTGTGCAAAGCATGACGGGGATACAAAAGCAGCCGCTTGCAAAGGGGGGGAGGGTGGGGTTTTGCGAGGGCAGCGGCGAGGGCAGGCGGAGTGAGGCAGAGCCCCAGTGTGCGCCCGTATTTATACGGCCCCAAACTGCCCGCGCAACGCCGCGGGACGCGCTGCGCAATTGTTTCTTTCTCCCCCGCCAGAAAAATCCCCGCTTGCGATCAAGCAGTGACCATTTGTCTACATAAACGATCTACCAGTGGGAATACAGAATTATATGAATATGTTTGCTGATGATGCTAAGATAATAGGGAAGATAAGAAACCTAATATGATTGTCGTGCCCTTCAAGAAGACCTGGACAAAATAAGTATATGGAGCACCAATTGGCAAATGGAATTTAATGTGAATAAATGCCATGTTATGGAATGTGGAATTGGAGAACATAGACCCCACACAATCTATAAATTATGTGAGAAATCTTTAAAGAATTCTGACAAAGAAAGGGATCCAGGAGTGGTTCTAGATAGAAAACTGTCACCTGAGGACCACATTAATAGCGGAGTCAGAGGCTGAAAGCTGACCATCGTTATTGAACAGGAGTGTTGGTTTGTTATTTAAAATCTTCTTTGATCCCTTTGATTTGTTGGATTTATTACCTTTAATTGGGGAAAGGATTGTAGCTTCTGTAATTAGTGCTAATTAGTTATGATATTAAGATAATGAGATAATGGAGCGAGTATAAGATTTACTCGCTACAGATTCAGTACTTGAGGTCGATCTCGAACCCATTGTTGATGTGATGACTTACATTGAATTTTGTAACTAGCTCATCAAGATTGTAACTTGCTTAGCTAAATGAATTGTGGGGTTCAGTCCCTGAGCCCATTATGTGCCTCTGTAACCCTTTCCACTACCGCCCACAAGATGGGTATGGGGTGCATTATAAATGAACTAAACTAAAAAAAAAACTACAGATTCAACAGAGCAGAAGTTGTTAACACATTTGCAGTCTCCGTGGTGTAGTGGTAAGACACTCGCCTGGCGTTCCGCGAGCGCTATGTCATGGGTTCGTATCCTGGCCGGGGAGGATTTACTGGGCGCAATTCCTTAACTGTAGCCTCTGTTTAACGCAACAGTAAAATGTGTACTTGGATGAAAAAACGATTCTTCGCGGCAGGGGATCGTATTCCAGGGACCATAGGATTAAGGACTTGCCCGAAACGCTACGCGTACTAGTGGCTGTACAAGAATGTAACAACTCTTGTATATATCTCAAAAAAAAAAAAAAAAAAAAAAAAAAAAAAAAAAAAAAAATAAGGCAAAATCTTACTGAAGCGACCATACGAGTCATAAATACTCATACTCCGCCCAAGTAAAACAGAAACAAGCAACACTTAGTGGGCCAGCCAGAGGCTTAGGGCCCGCGCAGGAATATCCCTGAAAAAAAAAGAAAAAAAAAATATCCACAGGATGGGTATGGGGTGCATAATAAATGAAGTAAACTGCAAGTAAGAGGTAAGAGTGGAGGCAAGAGATGGCGCTGTAGTGGCGTCCTGGCGGTGTCTGGCACATCAACGTCAGAGGTGTTATCAAGGCAGCTTTACTCTCTTTTCTGTATTCTCAAAACGTAAACAAACAAGGCAACATAAACGCGTCCAACAACATCAGTACTGGTGCAGTCATCGGGAGGACAAACCCTTCATGCAAACTGCACGTACTATAAACAACAACAAATATGGATATAGATCAGCACCTTATGTGGCTGATCAGTGCCATAAAAGCGTCAATTGGTAAGTTACAGTTCGTTGATGGTATATTTGTTGATGCTGTAGAGGGATTTAAAGGGCGGGAAAACAGTCAAATTTCCTGGCTTCAAGGCTGCCGTGAGATGCTGTGCCACCTTATGGATGACATAAGGAGCATTGTCGAGGAAAAGCAGGGCCTTGACTGGCAAACTTTTCTCCTGCAGATATTTTTTGATGGAAGGACAAACTACTTCATTTATCCATTCTGTAAAAAAATTGCCTTGTCACCCATGCTTTAGCATTAGCCCTCCACATCACACACATTTTGTTTTTCTGCACATTATATTTGTTTAAAACCCTTGGATTTTTGGAATGATATGCAAGCAAGGGTTTAATTTTCAAATCGCCACTTGCATTACCACACAGCACAAGAGTAAACCTATCTTTCATAGGCTTGTGTCCAGGCAATGACTTCTCTTTGGTAATGTATGTCTTCTTCGGCAATCTTTTCCAGAATAGCCCTGTCTTGTCACCATTACTTGTCACCATTACTTGTCACCATTACTACTGTCTTGATCACCATGTGGTGATCTCACAGATGTTAACTACAGACCTATATCAATCCTGCCAAACTTGTCAAAAATTTTTGAAAAACTAATCTATAAGCAGCTTTACTCATATCTAGCCAAACTCAATATACTTAGCCCTTGCCAATATGGCTTCAGGCCCAAAAAAAGCACTAACGATGCACTTATTAGTATGCTTAACTCGATTCATACAGCTCTTGATAAAAATGAGTTCCCTGTTGGGTTATTTGTGGACCTGCGTAAAGCTTTCGATACCGTCAACCACCAAAACCTTCTTCTTAAATTACATCATTATGGTGTCGGAGGACACTCCCTACAATACCTCAAATCCTACCTTACTGACAGGCTCCAATGTGTTTCTGTGAATAATACAATTTCTCCCACCCTACCCATCAACATTGGTGTTCCCCAGGGCAGCATACTTGGCCCTCTCCTCTTTCTCATCTACATTAATGACCTTCCAAATGCCTCCCAACACCTCAAACCAATCCTATTTGCTGACGACACAACCTTCATTTACTCCAGTCCTGATCCCCTTGCTCTAAATGCCACAGTAAATACTGAGCTAAATAAAGTCCATCTGTGGCTAACTGCCAACAAACTCACCCTTAACATTGACAAAACTTTCTATATTCTGTTTGGCAATAAATCCTCTAATCAAATAAATCTCAAAATAAACAATACCCAAATTTGTAACAAATTAGATGGCAAATTCCTTGGCATTCTCATTGACCACAAGCTGAATTTCCAGGGACACATTCTAAACATATCAAAAAAAGTTTCAAAAACTGTGGGCATTCTTTCTAAGATCAGATATTATGTACCACGCCCTGCCCTGGTGACTCTCTATTACTCTCTTATCTATCCATATCTCAACTATGGTATTTGTGCTTGGGGCTCTACTACCCAAAATCACTTACGTCCTCTAATTACTCAACACAAAGCTGCTATTAGGACAATATCCAATTCTGGCCCCAGACATCACTCGGTACCCCTACTCAAATCCCTGAATATGTTAGACATTAAGTCACTGCACATTCTCTCATGTGTACTATACATATATAAAACGCTAAACTGTAATGCCAATCCTGATCTCAAAAGCTTCATAGAAGGTTGTAACAGAACCCATGAGCACCACACCAGAAATAAATAGTTTTGATATTCCTAGAGTACGACTTAATCAAACCAGAAATGCTCTACAAATCAAGGGGCCCAGAATGTGGAATGACCTTCCCAACCATGTTAAAGACAGTACCTCTCTCAACCAGTTTAAGTTAAAAACGAAGCTATACCTAATAAATTCCCTGTAACCTACCTTACCCCTCTATTGTCAACCCATGTTTTTTTTTTTTTTTTTTTTTTTTTTTTTTTTTTATATAAAAAGTCGACGCTGTTTTAATGTAATTTTCTGTAATAATTTGTAATTGTAGTTGTGCTGTTTTTTCAACAATGTTCCCCCCTCTTTTACCTCTATTTTTATTTGTACTCAACGCATTTTTTTTCCTTTTACCCATTAGTTTTAAGCTTTAGTCAGTAGTGTTTTTTCCTGCCCGAAACGCTTTGCGTAATAGTGGCTTTAGGCATTGTATGTACTAGCTCTTATCTATAAAGCCAACAAACTTTGTAAAATCTCTTTATGTATGTACCTTTGCCTAAATAAAAATTATTATTATTATTATTAAACACTTGTTGTGGTAGGTATGCCTCACTCTGCACAAAATCTTTAAATTCACCAAAAATCTTTCAGCTGCTGGTTTGTCAGAGTTGGCACCCGCCCCATACCTCACAACACTATGAATACCACTTCTTTTTCTAAATTTCTCAAACCATCCTCTGCTCGCCTTAAACTCCTTGGCATCTGCATCACTCGTTCCAGGGGTTTTCTTTATGAGATCTTCATGCAATTTCCTTGCTTTCTCACAAATGATGGCCTCTGAAATGCTATCACCCTATCCTTGCTGTGTATCCAAATTAATAACAACCGTTCAACATCTTCAAGTGTTTGTGTTCTATGTTTTGTGATTATTGATATGTCTTTTGCCATTTTAGCACTCATAATGTCCCTTTTCTTTGCAAGTATGGTGGATATTGTTGACTGAAATTTGTTGTCTGCCTAACAAGTTCAGCAACCCGCACACCATCTTCATGTTTACCAATGATCTCTTGTTTTTCTTCTATGGTCATCCTTACGTGTTTTCATATTTTGAACCTTGCCACTGACTTTCTTGGGACCCATGATGTGATATATAATAATCAGTTTTATGTTCAAAAAACAAAAAATCACCAAAATAATGGAATTTCTTGTAAGCGTGATTGTCACTAAGCGGATGGCTCTGGTAAACTGAGGGAGGTCGGCTCGCGTGACCAGGAACCATGCGCTTGGTTGACCCAAACGCATATCAACGAATATCGTTAGTGCCGACGACACTATTGGAAGTCAAGTCGCATTTTCTGATCAGATTTATATCGTAACTTGAAAATATCGTAAGTCAGGGCAATCGTAAGTCGAGGTGTCACTGTATATGCATAATAATTTCATATTTCCATAATTATAATGAAATATTTATTTATGCTCTGGCAGTGAACAGCTGTGTCTCAATGTTTATGAACATTTGTTTGAAAAGCTGTTTGTCAGATACTATTCTACATTATATCTTTTATACAATACTGTATTAATTGATAACTCCTCCATAACTGAAGTAATCTTGATGAGAGTAAGCTTTACTCCAGGAGATAATTAGAACTTTAGATTTTGGTTATTGATCTTTATCAATGGCCGTACACATTTTTTCTTTGCTGTTCCATGATAGGCTAATAAACTGCCTAAATTGCAATATTTTTCAAATCGCTATAAACATTTAAGGCACATGTGCAACACTCATTTGCAGTTATAGTTCATTTGTTTGTGTATTCCTTGCACAAAATAGCCTTGCTAAGCTCTGCTGACTTGTGTGGCATGCTATTTGAAAACATTTCTGCACATACAGTACAGACAAGGAGTCACAATAACGTGGCTGAAATATGTTGACCAAACCACACACTAGAAAGTGAAGGGACGACAACGTTTCAGTCCGTCCTGGACCATCCTCAAGTCGATTGTGATGAGGGAAGGAGGCGAAAGCAATAAATAGGCAAGAAAGAGGTGAGAAGAAAATCTTAAAGGAAGAAAAAGCAAGGCAAAAGATACGAAAGGTAAGGTATAATAAAGGGGATAGTAATTGGAATAAGAACATAACAAAGGTAACTGCAGAAGGCCTATTGGCCCATATGAGGCAGCTCCTATTTATAATCGCCCAATCCCACCCAACAAGAAGGGTATAGTAATAGGAATAAGCAAGAGATTGTTAGAGAAAACAAGGGAAAGAAAAATAAAGAAGGAAAGAGAAAGAAAAATAAATGGAAAGGCAAGCTTATGTTAGGTTACGTTTGTTAGAAAGTTTAGAGCATTTGAGTATATGCTGTGAAAGGAGAGAGAGTAAACGGCAACAAAGCCAGGACTCAAGTTCATGTTGGGTACGTTGTGTATTAGAGCCGATTCTCACAGGTCGGCCTCTGTGTAGAATAGAGGCAGGAAAGATTATTTTGGAGGAAGACCAATCTGCACATACTACTGAAAATTTCATATTTTGTGAAGTTGCACGACTCAGTGATGCACATTGCATTATCTTTGCATCACAGGAATGCAAGCAAAAGATTTTTAGATAGCATAAATTTGTATCAATGTGTGTTAATTGATACTTTATTTTTCTTACAGATGGTGAAGTAGTCGATGACAGAAAATTGGTTAAGAACATTGGTGATTGCTTTCTGCGAATCAAGAAGGCGAGTCCAATTGGTAACAAAAGCAAGCAATTTGATGATTTTCGTGCAAGGGCAACACTACTTCTGCTGTTATGCTGTAGAAGAATACGGGAACTTTCAATTATAAAAACCAGCAAAGATTTTCAGTCTGTTGTTGTGACATTGCCAGTACTTTCAGAATCTGCATTTTTCTCTGTTATCAGGAGTCAGAAAATGTACAGGTTCTTGGCCCCAATTTTATCATGGGTCTCGCCTGAGGTTATCCAGGAAATAATGAAACAGTACTTCATTTGCATAGATGAAGTAACACCAGTGACACTTGCGATCACTTTAGAACTTTTGAAAGGGTTACTCTTTAGTTTTCAACATGAAATTGCTAAAGATAATTCAAGCCATATAGAATGTTTACATTTATTATTGAAATTTTTATCCACAAAGAGTATATCAAGTGAGACACCAGTATTGGTTAAGTCAAGTGGTTATTATTATTTGTATATCTGTGAATTTGTGTATTTAATGCTTACTGTCTATGCTGGTCAGTGTTTAAAAGAACCTGATGTTTATACATCATTGCAAGTGTGGATAAGTTTATGGAAAAATGAGAGAGATCTTTCTGGCACAGAACCTTGCCTTTCATTTATCAAAGAAACTATTAGATCCCTCCTAAGTGTGTGTCAGTTGAATTGTAAAGCAATAAGTGTGGATATTTGGATGACGTGGAATGATCTCATTTTACCAGCATTAGTAACAGTCCATGGGAACTCTTCAATTTTCACTGGGAAAGTGTTTCAAAAAAGCATACAGTCAGTCATATGCAACATAGCTTTTGATATACTAAGGATCTTAGACTCACATCCAGACATACCAGAGTCCTTGAACTCTAGTGAGTTCCAATCTCTCTTGAATTTCTTCAAAGAAGTGGCATCAGACCCAGACTATGATCCTGATGAAGCTCTCACACTTAAGGAGTTGTTACAGGAAATAGAACTGAAAGATGATCGTCAGCCAAAGCTGCTTGGAATTTTAATGAAGAGAGATATTTTTGCATCACAGGATGTCCAGGAGTGTGTGAAAGCATACAGTGCAGAAATTCCTTGTAGTATGAGGCAGGATATTTTATTAAGATTCATCCAGCATAACAAAGCGGGGAAACACTCCAGTGCCGATTGGTTAAATGTAAGTAATGTATAATAATTATCTAGGTTTTATTGATGACTATTTAAATCTGCTTAAACCCCTAACTACAGACCATGAATTTGGTTGATTTTGTGGTGCGAATGAAAGAATTTTTTTTTTTTTCTGAGAGGAGCCCCTTTGACTCCCTGTAGCTATCGGGCTGATATGTTATATTAGTCTGGGGCATCCAGCAATTGGAGTTCTGCCTACCAGGGACCATGAGCCAGAACCTGGCCCCCCTCAGAGAGGCAAAGGGAGCAATGGCCTATGGAAACCCCCATGTATTTGGAGGCATTCCATGTCTGCCATCGACTGGGGTTGGCACCCAGAAAGATAGGCATAACAAAACAGACCCCACATGGTAAGAAAATTGCAATGAAGACTGAACAGAGAGGCAGAACTCTCTCCTACTTATAGAAACAAGCAAACACTACACTGCTGCCGCGCCACTTGTCCATGCAGCCCTCCCCTCCCAGGGAGGGAGAGGGGTAGCCCTGGACTCCCCCATGCCAGCTACCCAACAACTTCAGTTCATTGGCTGATGTTGTCTGGAGCGGACGTTGACTCTGGTCTCGGATTCTAGGCAGTTGTGTACCTTAGTAATGTGTTCTGCTGTGTGTGAGGCATGGTGACCAGGAGAACTTTGAGAGTGCTGGGGCTTCATGCACTTAGGGTTTTCTTCCCTAGGCACTAGGGTGCCTAGGGAAGAAAACACTCTACCCTTGGGTTCTAGGGTTCCCTTCCATAGAATTTTCGGGAACCACTTCCGTCTTTGTTGCTCGGCACTTAACCCGCCCTTAGGGCCAGCTGGGGTTTTCGTAGCCTTTGTTTGGCCTTGGGTAGGAAGTGGCATCGTTTGCTGGTAGGGTTTCCACCTCGCCTTGTGTGAGTTTAAAGGTTGCTGTGTGCCCTTATTTCAGGGTGACAGTAACCGTTTTTGCCCGTCATGTTGCCTGTTGGGTTGACGACACCTTTGACCCGGAGTCTTGAGAGTCGTGCTCTCTACTTGTTCTCCAATTTACCCATTCTGATGACATTGATATTTGAGTACAGTCAGCATCTGCATTGCATGCTAGGTTTAGGTTGCTGCAACGCTCTAGGTTGGTTGCCTACCCGGATGCCCCAAGGCTACCTCATTTTTGTTTTAGGGACCTGGACTTGGGGGCGTTAGTCGGTTTGACTTTGGTTCTGTCCGCGTTCCCTGGTCCTTTCCCAGTTGTTGTTCCTGCTTCCCCACCCCCTGCTCTCAGCTCCCAAACAACTGAGAGTTTCGGAGTCGGGGCAGGGTTAAGTTGGCAATGAGACTCGGCCGGCTTCGTGGGCTGCCCCAGTCAGGTTGGGGACGGAGACATTCAAGCTGGTTCCTCCTGCCGAGGCTCCTGGGTCCCACCAGCAGGCTTCCTTCTTTTCTGCCTTTCTCGTGGACTGTCTTTTCTTCAGGGGTCAAGGGTATGGAGGACTGCTCTGCCCCAAGTCTTGGTTTGGAGGATCCCGGGGCTGGGAAGGAGTTGACCTGGGGGGCTTGGGCCCTCCTTTGATCCCGCTTGGGTTTTGGTGCCCTCTTCACGGGACTTGTTGTTGCAGGGGGAGGGGTTTTCTTACCCCCACTTGCGTGTATGAGTATGATTTGGGGTCAGCTCCTCCCCGGGTTTGGTTCTGGGTTCCCTTGGGTTCCTTGGCTCCTCCTTTCCGGAGGTTTTCTGTCTCGTATCTGCCCTAGGGAGGTTGTGGAGGCATTTGCTGCATGCCTCCTGCGAGACCCAGATTCTGCCTATGTGATGGATCCGTCCTCGTTTCAGTTCGGTTCTTCTTCCCCGTATTGGGTGTGTTTGGAGGTTCCGGAGTTTTTCTGGGTGGTGGACTGTCGGTTCTTTTCGTTGGGGGTGTGGCATGGGTTCTGTTGGAGTTGCACGCTTGAGTGGCGAGAAACTTCTACTGTTCAGCAGGTTTACCTGGGGGGGGGGGTTTGGGAGTTTGAGCACCTTAATACGTGCTTGTTCGCCCCTGTGCTTCCTTGGGATGTTGGCCTTGTGCAGCTGCACATGCAGGTTCCCACCCTTTCTGTGTCTTTGGTTGCTGAGGATTTGCACACCTGTGGGCATTTGGCTTCGGTTTTGTTCTTCTTTTCCCTTCCTCAGACTGGCATGAGGACGATGTGTAGGTGTTGAGTGCCGGGCTTTCGTCTGGTGCGCTGGCTTCGGCGGCTAGTACATCGGCTGTGTTGTTGAATCTGTTTGCTCCGACTCTCAAGGAGGCGTGTCTCTGTTATTTGCTTCTCGTCTCGCGTGCCGGCAGGCTGTGCTCGCTCTCTCTTTGGAATCTGCTTGTGCCCTGGCTCGTAGATTTTCGTTGCTGTTTTGTCTGTTGTTGTTTGGGGAGACTGCTGTCACGCTGTTTCTGTTGGTGGCTACATGTTGTTGTAGTTGTCTATCTGACTTGTTGGTTCTCCGGGGTGGCCGTTCATGGCTTTCTGGGAACGTTCATGCCAGGGCATGGGGTTCTTCCAGTCAGGGTGGGTCATTGATGCCAGCTTCTGAGCCAGCGCTTCCTTCAGAGTTGGTGTCCTCTGGCCAGTGAATGATCGCTCTATTCATTGTCCGGCTTCTTGTGAGTGGTGTCGGCCCTTTTGTGGTTCACCCCATTGATGGGGCGATGGGCGGGAGGGGGGAGAGGCGCGCACTGTTCGCTCACGCTTAGTTCCATGATTTGTTGGCATTTCAGGTTGTATCCTCTGGCCTGTGGTGGCATTGGGCGGCTCCTCCTCCTTCGGGGGGTTCGGGGCTCCTGGGGCAGGCTTCTTCCCCTGCGCTCCGTCAGGTCATCTCGGAGTAGGTGCACTTGGGCTTAGTCGAAACGACCCCATCCCTCAAGTGGGTGTCCCGCCCGTTTCCAGTACCAAAACGGGAAGGGAAAGGAAGGGAACTATTGGGAGAAAGCACCAGGTGCAGGCGATGAGTCACAATAACGTGGCTAAAGTAATTTAACCGGACCACACACTAGAAGGTGAAGGGACGACGACGTTTCGGTCTGTCCTGGACTATTCTCAAGTCAATTGTGAGAGAAATTCACAATCGACTTGAGAATGGTCCAGGACGGACAGAAACGTCGTCGTCCCTTCACCTTCTAGTGTGTGGTCTGGTCAAAGCACCAGGTCATTAAGACTATATAGCTAACGGGACTGTGCGGTTCTGTGGTTCATTCTGGATTTGTCCAATCTAATCCCCTGGATTCCTTGCCTCTCGTTTTGGATGACCACTCTGTCTTCGGTCCGGCTTCTGTTGGAGTCGTTGGCCTGGATGGAGTCCTTGGACCTCCAGGACACTTATTGGCATGTACTTATTCATCAGGGGTTCAGGGACTGATTGGGTTTTGTTGTGGGACATCAGGCTTACTGCTTTCATTGTCTTCCCTTTGGCTTGAATCTGGCACCTTGTGTGTTCACACGTCTTACCTGGGTCATGGTGACCCGTCTGCATCTGCTAGGGGTTCAGGTTCTTGCCTACTTCCTACCTCGATGACTGGTTGGTGTGGGCTCCCAGCTGGTCTGCTTGCCAGGGGTGTGGTTCTTTCCCAGCTCACCTGGTTCGGGTTCCTGGTGAACTGGAGGAAGTTCCATCTGGTTCCATCCCAGGTTCAGACCTGGCTGGGTCTCGTGTGGGACTCTCGGACTGCTTCCCTGTCTCGCCCTGCGGAGTCGTTGGTCAGGCTGCAGTCCCGCCTTCAGCTGGTTCTGGGGGGTTCCCGGGTCACGCGACGGTTGTACGAAGAGTTGGGGGAATCTGAACTTTGTTGTGCTGGTTTACCCGCCAGGTTGGTTCTGGCTTCGGCGTCTGTTCTGGTTCCTTCGGGGTCCTCCCTTCCACCTCTTGCAATCTCTGGGCTTAGCCTCTGGGGACTTTGCATCAGTTGCTGCATTGCTGTCTTCCTCTTCAGGTTTTTCAGGGGTCATTCAGGGATCAGTGCCTTGGCGCGCCTACCCAAGCCCTCGCTCGGTGTGTTCACGGATGCGTTATCTCTCGGCTGGGGCTTTGTGCCTAGTGCTCTCCAGGCTCGCTAAGGGTGGCGGGGTCCGTCTTTCCGTCGAGTTCACTGCATGGTGTGGGAGTTCGTGGCAGTTTCGCTATTGCTTCAGAGGGTTTGATTCGCTTGGGGTTAATCCATCCGGCTCCATTCGGACTGTTCCCCGGTAGTTCATTGCCTTCACCGCAGGGGTTCTCTTCGGTCCTTGCCTCTTTGAGGCTGATTGTATCGGTAATATGCTCACCTTATTTTTGAGTATAGCAATGGTCCACACATTTTATTATATTTTTATTATATTAATTGTGGGACTTGTCTTCTGGCTTCTTGGGGTTTGGCTTTCCATGCAATTCATATCCGGGGAGTGTCCAATGTCCTGGCGGACGGCCTGTCTTGGTTCATTCCCTGTCTACGGAGTGGATGGTTGACGCCACTCCTTCCATTGGCTCTGCCGGATGTAAGGACTCCCGGAAGTGGACCTCTTCGTGTCGGCGTGGTCTCGGCATCTCCCGGTATACGTGGCGCCCTTTCCTGACTGAGGCCTGCGCAGTGGATGCCTTTCTTCAGGACTGGTCGATGTGGGGTTACCTGTACGTATTCCCCCGGTCCAGCTGTTGCTTCGGGTTCTGGCTCGGTTGAGTCTTACCACTGGAGCGTAGTCCTAGTATCCTCTTGGTGGCCGGTCTATCCTTGGTTTAGGCTCTGCTTGCTCGGTGTCCAAACCCGGAGCATTGAGGACCAATGCACCAACATTGGTTTTGTGCACCAACACACCGTGGCTCAGCCTCTTCCAGCCGGTCGGACCGCTCCGGTACACTGCTGGTTCGGTTTTCTCCTCCGCTCTTCGCATCTGGTCTCTTTGACGCGCGTTATCACCATTTGTGTGGTGTTCAGGTGGCTTCGTTGATGCTGGCCCACCTGAGAGCGTCTTGGCGATAGAATGAAGTTTCCTGGCATTCTTACCGCCATTTTCTCTCCCTTCTAGGGTTGTCTTCTCTTTCTGATCGGGTTGTCTTGTCCTTTCTGTCTTTGCATTTTCAGGATCGTCATTTAATGCCTAATACTGTCGTCTCATAGTGCAGGGCTGGCTGGCGGAGCCACTCCAGCTTGTGTTTGGGGTGGCTGTTACTTCTGCCTTGTTCCGTAAGATTTCTCGTGCTTTGTTTCATCTCCAGCCTGTTCATGTGCTGCCTGAGCCATCCTGGTTTTTGGACTGGGTGCTCTCCTATCTTTCTTCTCCTCAGTTCGTGGTGACTCCTTTTGTTTAAGATTGTTTTTCCGAGGCTCTGTTTCTGTTGGCATTGGCCTCTGGTGGTCAGGTCATTGAGCTTCATGCTCTCCTCCGGTGCAGGTTTTCCTGCTCTTTGGTCCTGGTAGTCATTTTGTTCGGTTGCATCCTTCTCCTTTTCTGACGAAGAATGACACGGCTGCTCTCCGAAGGGGTCCTTGGGCTATTGATGCTTAGTTGGTCAGGCCAGGGGTGCATCATGTTTAGTGTCCGGTTGTGACTCTTTGCCGTTACCTGTGCGCTTTGGCTTCTGTGGCCGGGATGCACTTTGGGTTGATCCGGTTCCCTCGTTACCTGTTCCAGGGCTCGGGTCTCCCACGTTGTCTGCAGGGTTATTAAGTCTAGCCAGCCTGTGGTTTATTCTCGTTCCCATGATGTTAGGAAGTTTGCTCTGTTGGCTGCCGTCTTTGGCAACATGTCTTGGGCTGATATTCGGGCGTGGGGATTTTGGAGGTCGAACAGGGTCCTGGTTGCCTAACATCTTGTTAACGTTCCTGGGCCTGTGCGTTCTTGTGTTGCTTTGGGTCGCAAATCCCAGCCTTTTGTCTTAACTTCAAGTTGAGGGGTGTGTGGGAGCTGCCTCCTGGGTAAGTCTCTCTTTTCCTTATCTTTGGTTATGTAGCTCCAGGGAGCTGTAGGGGGCTCTCCACAGAAAACCAGCATTGATTGTAATGAAACGCCATTTTCTGGACAAGGTCAAGGTAAGGTGAGCCCCAGAGGCTCTTTGGCACCCTTCCTCCGGTCGGCGATTTTTTTATGTTTTGATGTGTAGCCTCCGAACTGGAATTGCTAGGTAGCCGGCACGGGGGTCTAGGGCTCCCCCTTCCCCCTCCCAGGGAGGGAAGGGTTGCACGAGGAAGGGAAGGGCTGGACGAGTGGTGCTGTAGCGTGGTGTGATGTTAGCTTGTTCCTTGGGAATTGAATAAGTTCTGCCTGTTTGGATTTTGGTTGCAATTTTCATACCATGTGGTGGTCTGTTTTGTTATGCCTACCTTTCTGGGTGCCTAACCCCAGTGGATGGTAGATAAGGAAAACCCCCAACCACAGAGGGGTTTTCCAGGGCCTTTGCTTCCTGTGCCTCTCTGAGGGAGGCAGGTTCTGACTCTTGGTCCCCAATAGGCTGAACTCCATTGACTAATGCCCTGGTCTAATGTATTGCATTTTAGCCCGATAGCTCCAGGGAGCCTCCAGGGCTCACCCAGAAAATGGCATTTCATTACATTCAATGCTGTTTTTTTTTTTCATTAATATTATTTAATAGTGTGTAATTTGTAATACAGTATATATTCAATAAAAGGTCTGGACCATTGATATACTGAAAAATATGGTGAGCATATTACTGATACAATTACTATATTCCTAGAACAATAAAACGGTTTTGGCTATTATTACAGTACAGTATACAAAATATATATTATAACTACTGTATCTACAGTTTTGTGCACCATAAAAAACCACTAAGCAGGTATGATGGGTCCAAACAGCATAATGCCACCAACACACCAGTCGGCTAACAACGCTTGCCTCGCTTGGCACACGAATCCTCCTTCCATCATGCTACATACATCACTAATTCTCACCACAATGCTGCTATTATCAGAATCCTCGTCACTAAATATTGTAAATTATTTTCCACAAATTGATTATGTAAAGGAACACGAGAAATTGTTTCAAAATGCTTAGATGGACCAAAGAATGGCAGTGTGCTGTGGCTGCCTACCTAGTACTGTGAACATCATGAACAGCATTGTGTTCAGACTGTGATAGTCTCATTCAGCTGTCAGATGGCAACTGACACACGCAGAAAGAGACTTGGAACTGGTAGGTACCGAGGTAGGTAGGTAGGTAGGTAAGTACTGTACGGAGGGAGGTAGGTAGAGAGAGATGCCGACTGACAAAGGCAGAAAGAGACTTGGAACTGCCAGTTCCCAATCCATCTGTATATTGTTAATATATTAAGAAACAGGAAATCAACAGAACTTCTGGTGTGTGAATGCTGGTTTTACTTTGTAAATGGACTACTGTATAGCAGAAATTTTAAAATGAAACAAGATAGCACCAAGGGAACATGATTTATTCAAAGCAATTTACAACAATGCTATTTAAAATTTCCTCATAAACAATTCTAAAAAATAAGCATAAATATTAATGATCTTTATTCTGATTGTGTTATTACAAGAGCGAGTCTAATAAGCTGCAGTTGCTTCTCAGTTGTATAAAATCCAGTTTTTCAGTAGCTCACTTGGTAACCAAACTAAATTTTGCTCCCAGGTCTATGGAAGTTCCTCTTTTACAAATATCTGTGATGCAATTCAAAGGAATTAATTTTTAGGTCTTCCTGGGACCACTTCTGAGCTTGAATCCTTATCCTCCTATGGAAGGTTGCAAGCTCTCTGGCTCCTCTTCACATATAGTGGTGAAGCATTTCACTAACCTCGCCCACTATTTATTAATTATTTCCTTTGGCTCATTAGTTTTGAGTGAGTAACTGCATTTCAAATAAAATTACACTTGTGTAAAAGAGCTGAAGGAAGGTGTAATGGTAGGATTAAAAAGTAACATAAGGAAGACAGGTTATGCTCAATATGCTTGCAAATCTCTAGCAAAGAGAAGCCAATAACTTTTATTTGGTAGAGGTAAAGGAGTGTGTGTGTGTATTTGAGGCAGTTAATTTAATGGAATAAGGTGCAGTTCAATAGAAATCGGAAGATGCATCAAAATTAGCTCTTAGGAGGCTCAATCCTGTCCTGTAATCAGAGGTATTATGCCCAGGCTTAAAAATACTATACCAAGGTAATATTTGAGTAGATTCTACATTTCAAAATAAAAAATGTCCCGCTTTCAAATGGACAGTTGAAATTAAGACATACTTGTCCCCCAATAGGTAAGAAAGCTGAGGAAAGCTGAGCAGTGATAATGTATGGGAATGCCTTTATCCACCTGCAGCAAGTGGTTACTCTTATGCAAGTTTTCAGTTACGGGATCTTGCAATGAATTTTAAGCACATTGATATATTTACATATCTCAACAAGAATATAGAAAAATCTAGATTTAAATATCTTTCAAGCAATGGTTTATTGCTTGTATGTAATCTTGCGTGCAACAAATGTTCCTGTTTTATTAATTGATCTTGCAGTCTGTGACATGAGCCTTCTCTTACATTCAGCTTATTCTGGATATGGCAGCAGTGCTTCCTGCTAAGCAGCTGCTGTCGGTTATTGAAGAGCATCTTGCATATGGACTAGATGAGAGACTCATGGCAGCGGACTTTAGTAATCAGCTGACAGCAGTATTTAATCAACTGGCTGGGCAAAATTCATCAGTGGTAAGCTTTTAATGTTTGTAATTTGGGTATTTGGTATTCATTTAATAATGAATTTATTTATACTACATTGATGTTAAGTAGTTTCTTTAGTGTTTGATATTTTATCTTAACTTTCCTGATGGACCCACACGTAGCCTGTCATCCACCCTTGATAAATACCTCCTTCTGTAGAGAGGAGGACTTAATTCCTGTAGAGATTTAATTTAAGTGATCTTTATTGGTTTTCCTTGAAACTAATTTCTGCACATTGGGCTTATGCTTAGTCCTTTAGCTGTACAGTATAACTTTCTGACATCAGTCAATGCATGGAGTTCTTGCCTACTGGGTACCACGAGCCAGAACCTGACCCCTTCTAGAGAGGCATGAGGAGCAATGGCCTACAGAGACCCCCTCCCCTGTGGTTGGGAGCATTCTATGTCTGTCATCGACCAGGACAGGCTCCCAGAAAAATAGGTACCCCAAAACAAACCCTTATTCTGATAAAACTATTGCAACCGAAGGCCGAACAAATGGGCAGAACTTCCCCAAACGAAAATTAGCAACCTAGCATGACTTCATCATGTTGCCTCGCTGCTGTCTGCACAACCCCCCCTCCCTGGGAGGAGGAAGGGGGAGCCCCAGACCCACTCATCAACGACCCAACCTTCAGTTCTTAGGCTGGATGTCAAAAAGTGCGAAAAACACCACCGACCGGAGGGAGGAAGAGATGCTGGAGAGCCTCCGGGGCTCGCCCAGAAAATGGCATTTCGTTACATTCAATGCTGGTTTTCTGGGGGGAGCCCCGTTGGCGCCCCGGAGCTACCTCACCACAGATAAGGAAAAGAGGGAAAGATCCGGGAGGTGGACGCTACATGCTCTTAACATAAAAACAAGACTACAGACAAAATGAAAAGACCTTGCAGACGACCCGGGAGACCCGAACCCCAGAACAAGGAGGGCAGGAAGGGAACCCGGGCAAACCAAATCACGTCCATGGCCCCAGAGGCCAAGACGAGCAGAGAACAGCGAAGAGCTGCAACCGAACAACAAAGGAAGCACCCCTGGCCTGACCAACCAAGCATCAATCCAGGACCCCTCCGGAAAGCAGCAGACCCAAACATCACCCGAAGAGAAGGAGACTGCATCAAACGAACAACCTATCACGAGGACCAAACAAGGCAGAAAAACACAGGCGCCGGAGGAGAGCCAGAAACTCCCCAACCCGCCCCTAGAGATCAACACCAATAGGAGACCTGAAAACAAAACAAAGGCACACCAGAACCAAAGGGATCACGACAACCGAGAAGAAAAAGAAAATGACCACCCGGGCCAACGACCAGGACGGCTCCGGAAGTGCAAGAGCAGGCCGGAGGTGAAACAACACTAAAGACAGCAAGCGGAACGGAGCAGAAGGAAATTCAACACCGAATGCAAGCCAGAGCGGCCCCGCCAGCGCTACCCAAGATGAGGCGACAGTACACGGTACCAGACAACGGTCCCGGAGCAACCCCGAAGGGAAAGACAAGACAACCCTATCGGAGATCGAAGAACCCTTCGCATTGATAGGAAAACCCGGAAGGACCGCCAAGAAAACTATACAATGCTGCCGAGATGAAGCACACAGGAGGGAGACCAACAACGAAGCCACCAGTGCCCACACAAGCGACGAGAACTCGAGACAAAAAACCCGAGACATGAAGACTTGTGGGGGAAGAATGAACCAGCCTCGTACAGGGCTGGACCGATCCGCAAAAAGAGGCAGAGCCGCGGTAAGCCCCTCAGGATCGGAAACCAAGTAAAGCAGTGCCCCCAACCAAGGCTGGCAAAACCAGAAGGAACGGCCACCAGGGAAGCACGAATCCAATTCCGGCGAGCCGAAAAGGAACCAACCTGGGTGAGCAGACATGCCCCGTCTGGGAGGAACCCTCCCCAGGACCCCTGAAGGACCAACAAGGCCAAACACCGAAGAGCCAGAGCCCAGGCAGAGGCCAACGAGGAAAACAAACACCACGAACTAGAGTGCGAGACACAAAGCGAAAAAGAGAAACCCCTCAACCCAAAGGAGCAGTGCAACCAACTCAAGCAGGGAAGAACAACGCATGCTTCTCCGGGATATGCAGGAGGAGAACTACGCAGGAAAACAAACACGTACGTTCCGGAAAAGGAACAAAGAAAAATCGTAGCCAGGACCGGACACTCGGCTACCCCTGTCCCAAGAAAAGAAACCAGTAGGGCAGGAGCGGTGACTGGAAGCCTACAACCTCCCGCAGACTTTACAACACAGAAGCCTGCAGTGAGATAGTGTACAAGGAAAAAGTGAAAACTCGGTACCAAAACTGAACACTAGGGAGCCGGCCAGCTGAGCAGACAGCACGCTGGACACGTGATCCTGTGGTCCCGGGTTCGATCCCGAGCGCCGGCGAGAAATGATGGGCAGAATTTCTTTCACCCTATGCCCCTGTTACCTAGTAGTAAATAGGTACCTGGGAGTTAGTCAGCTGTCATGGGCTGCTTCCTGGGGGTGGAGGCCTGGTCAAGGACCGGGCCGCGGGGACACTAAAGCCCGAAATCAACTCAAGACAAGTCCAAAATCGGGGAACTGCACATGGACAGAGGCCCACCCCAGCACCCAACAACAGTATAGCCAATAAGCACTGACCATGATACACAGCCATGTGTAGCATAGAGGGAGGAAAAACTGAAATAGGCAAGGAAAAGACCAGAAAACGGACCAAGTAGCAGCCGGTAACGTAATGTACACGACCAACCGCAACGTGTGGTGTGGAACCCATATACTTTAGGTTCTCTGTACTCACCTAGTTGTCCTTACCTAGCTGTGCTTGTGGGAGTTGAGCTCTGGCTCTTTGGTCCCGCTTCTCGGCTGTCATTCGCCTGATATAGACATGGCCTCTGTGTTCTTGGTCCTGTCCCTTTCATTCCCCTTGCTGCCTGTCTTCCTCGTTCCTCATCTTCCTTCTACACTCGTGTCCCTCGCTGCTGGTGCTGGGGCAGTTTTTCTAGTCTGTATGGCTTGTTTTCCTGTATCCACTTCAGGTCGATTGACTTGTGGGGTACTATGTGAGGGGTGGTTTGATTATTTTGTGTGTCGGTTACTCATCAGGACTTGACATCTGCGAGAAGCCCTGTACCAGTTTCCACTTTTTTGTGTTGTGCTAACTGTCAGGGGATATAATAGTTCTGATGTTACCTCGCCCCTCTCGTTACACCTTGTTGTGTGGTTTAGTATGTGCTTTTTGACACCTACTGCTGCCTTGCAATTGCCTTGCGGTGTTTCCGGGGCTTGGCGTTCCCACTGCCTGGTCGGTGACCAGGCCTCCTCGTTGCTGGTCTGGTCGCCCAGGCTGTTTGACGCGGCTACGCGCAGCCTGACGTATTACTTACAGCCTGGTTGTTCAGGTATCCTTTGGAGGTGTTGCTCCTCTCTTGGTCACTGTGCGGGGTCGACCTGTTTTGCCCCTTATGTGTCATGGAGGCGTGTTGCACAGTCTCGGGATTGTAATGTTGCTGGGGTTCTCTCTGTGTGGGGGGGCTCGGTTGGACTTTGTCCATGTTCAGTTCCCTGCTTTTGTGCCGTCCCTGTGTTTGGTTAATTCCTGGCTTACCAGGTTTGGGTTCCTGGTTTCCTGGCTTACCCTGCCAGTTGGCATTTTCCGGATCTTGTGGTGTCACTTTTCACGAGTCTCGCATCGGGACCACTGTGTCTCTGATCTCCTGGCAAGCTCGCTGGCATTGGGTAGTTTTCTGTATGGCAGACGTTCCTTCTCTATCCTTGCCGGCTTGGGTTTCGGCCTTGCTTGCTCGGTAGTCGCACCCGATGTTTTCCCGCGGCTCCGCCTTTTCCTATGCTCGATCAATCCATGGCGGGGCTGGTTCGGTTCTGCCTCTAGTATCTCGCTATCTGTTGGTGGTTAGGTGGCTTCGTTGATGGTGTCCCACCTGTGTGCTTTGTCTTGGTGGCAGTGTGGGGTTTTCTCTGGTGGTCCTTCCTTTTTCTTTGTCCCTTCGGCGGTTTGCTGTCTTCTTGGTGTGGTCTGGTCCTTCTCTTGTGGAGTTTTGGGTCCATCATCTTGCCCCATATTGTCACCTTGTCTCGTGCGGCACTGGCGGAGCTGCTCCGGGTTGCTTCAATTTTGGAAGTTGCCTCGGCACCACTCCGTGAGCCGTCTTTGGCGTGGTTCACCTCCGGCCTGCTCTTGCACCACTTGGACCATCCTAGTTCTTGAATTGCGTGCTCTTTTCTCTTCTCCTCGGTTTGTGATGGCCCCTTCGGTACCAAGTTGTTTTCCGAGGCTCTTTTCTTGTTGGGTCGGGTTAGAGTGCTTCATGCCCTCCTTCGGCGCCTGGGTTTCGGATCTTTTGATTTTCCTTATAGGTTTGTTCGCTTGCGGCTGTCTCCTTCTTTTCTGGCAAAGATTGGCATGGCTGCTTTCTGGAGGGGTCCTTGGGTTGTTTGATGCTTGGTTGGTCTGGCCGGGGGTGCATTGTGTTTTAGTGTTCGGGTGCGGCACTGTGCCATTCTTGGCGTGCCATGGCTGCCGTGACCGGGGTCATGCTTTGGGTTGTTAAGAGTTCCCCTCTTCCCTGTTCCAGGGTGTGGTTCTCTCGGGTTGTCCGCTGGGTGGTTCGGTCCTGCCAGCTTGCTGTCTGTCCCTGTGCCCATGTCGTTCGTTGGTTGGCTCTGCGTTCCTTCGTTGATGTTCCTGGACCTTGTCGGGCCTGTGTGGCCTTGGGTTGGCAGTTGTGGTTTTTGTCTCCGCTTTGCATTGGGGGTATGTATCTTCCACCTTCCAGATTAGGTCCCTCTTGTTTTCATCTTTGGGTAGGTAACTCCAGAGAGCCGACGGGGCTCCCCCCAGAAAACCAGCGTCGAATGCAATGAAACGCCATTTTCTGGGAGAGACCCGGAGGCTCCCTGGCATCCCTCCCTCCCTCCGGTCGGCGTTTTTTTTTGTTTTTTGACATCCAGCCTCAGAACTGAAGGGTGGATAGCCGGTGTGAGGGTCTGGGGCTCCCCATTCTCCCTCCCAGGGAGGGGGAAGCTGTGTAGACAGCGGCACGGCGACTCGTAACGTCATGCTCATTTGCGTGTTTCTTTTTGGGGAGTTCTATCCACTTGTTCAGCTTTTGGTAGCAATTTTCACCAGAATAGGGGTTTGTTTTGGGATGCTTACCTTTCTGGGTGCCTGACCTGGTCGATGGCAGACATAGAATGTTTCCAACCACACGGGGGTTTCTATAGGCCATTGCTCTCCATGCCTCTCTGAGGGGGGTCAGGTTCTGACTCGTAGTCCCCGGTAGGCCCACAGAACTCCATACACATGACTGATGCCAAAGTCTGATATTAGCATATCTTCCTGGATAAACCCCGGGAAGCCTCCGGGTCTCGCTCGGAAAATGGCGTTTCATTACATTCAACGCTGGTTTTTTTGCGTTTTTTATTTATATTTTTTCGTTTTTTTTTCCCCCTCCTGGGGAGGGGAAGGGGTTGCACAGATGGATGCGTGGCGGTACTGGTGACATCGTGTTTGTTTCCTTGTTTTTGATTGCAGAGTTCTGTTTCCTGGTTTGACTTTCGGTTTGCAATTTTTGACCAGCAGTACAGTAGTTTGTTTAGGAATTCCTACCTTTCCGGGTGCCTGACCTGGTAGATGGCAGACAAAAAACTGCTTCTAATTACACGGTGTCTTTAGGCCATTGCTCCTAGTGCCTCTCTTGAGGGGGAGCCAGGTTTTAGCTCTGGTCCCCGGTAGGCCTAGAACTCCATTGATTTATGGTTGCCACAGTCTAATATATGCACATCAGCCCGGTATGGCTCCGGCGAGCCTCCGGGTCTCGCCCAGAAAATGGCGTTTCATTACATTCAACGCTGGTTTTATTGTATGTAAATATATGAAAATATGTACAAAATAAACAAGGAATAAATGTACAGTATGTATTTCTTTAGAAAAAATGATTATAAACTAGTTTTTCTTCAGCCTTCAGAGAGACATGTCTGGTTGTGCTTGCAGTCGGGAAAAGCTGTTGTGGAGCAAGCTGTAACACTGTCGATCAGCTTAAGTGGACTTGTCCCAGTTATGGTTCAGGCACTGACAACCATCCCTCAAGTTTGTCAGGCTGTTCTACCCACAGGTAACTTTAAAGATTAGATGATCTTTGTGTGATTAATGAGCAGTCCTCAGGAGGGTTAAGATTAGTTATAGTTCCACATAAAACCACTGCTGTAGGTAATATAAGGGGTAATTCTGTACTGTTTATCTTTGTCTACTCTTGCCCTGTAGTATCTAAAGGGGGTGTGGCAAATTTTATCCACTTCTACATTGCCCTTCAAGTGAATGTTGATTTTCAACTGTTTTATATAACATGGGAATAAATGCAGGTCCGTTGTACAAAGTGTACAAAAGACCTTTCCGCATTAGCTACAAGATTCTAGCTACACTGAGAGTTAAAGAGTTGCTGCACAATACGAGCAAATATATTTTTGTTGTTTTCTAGAGGAATATACATTCCTGAGGCCTCAATTCTATTATTCTGACTATTTTGGATTAAATTTACTAGTACAGTATGTAGGTTAATTAAATACTGTACAGTATTTAGATTTTAACTTTCGGTCTATTTCTGGGGGGGAGCCCTGTCAGCTCCCCGGAGCTAACCGGACTGATATGAATATACAGTATTAAATTCTGCCATCAGTCAATGTGCATGGAGTTCTAGGCCTACTGGGGACCACGAGCCAGAACCTGGCCCTCTCAGAGAGGCACAAGGAGCAATGGCCTATAGAAACCCCTCATGTGGTTGGAAGCATTCTATATCTGCCATTGACCTGGTCAGGCACCCAGAACGGTAAGCACCCCAAAACAAACCTCTATTCTGGTTAAAATATTACTACTGAAAGCCGAGCTAGTGTACAGAAGTCCCCTAATAAAAAAGAAGCAAACAAGCATGACATCACCACATCACTGCACCGCTGTCTGTGCAACCTCCCCTCCTCCCTGGGAGAGGGAAGGGAAAGGCCCAGACCCCTGCCCCTAGCTATCCAAACCCCCTAGTTGTGTGGCTGATGTAAACTGGTAAGGTTGTGCACCTCTGGCTCCTGTGTTTTCCAGTTTTGTGCCTTGTGGTGTGGTCCTGTCTACTAGGTGGTGCGCGAGCCAGGAGTAATTTCGCAAGTACTCGGGCTGCATGCACCTTGGGTCCCCTTCCCTGTAAGTACTGCCCTTGGGGCTTGGGACCACCTTCCACTAGTCACCTTAGTGTCTACCTCTGCTAGGACTTTTGCTGCTCGGTGATTGACCGCCCTTGGAGTCAGCTGTGGTGATTCATGCACCACTGTTTGCCTTTGGTCGGCCGAGCTTACAGTACACTGGACTTGTGATCCTGTAATCCTGTGTTCGATCCCGGGCGCCAGCGAGAAACGATGGGCAGAGTTTCTTTCACCCTATGCCCCTGTTGCCTAGCAGTAAATAGGTACCTGGGAGTTAGTCAGCTGTCACGGGCTGCTTCCTGGGGGTGGAGGCCTGGTCAAGGACCGGGCTGCGGGGACACTAAAAAAGTCCCGAAATCAACTTAAGAAATCAACTCAAGATAATCTGGTGTTACGGCCCTCTCGGGACGCAACGGGGTTCTCACTCTGATGTTGTTAGAGGAAGATATATGTATCCGTTCCCAAGCCAGTAGTGGCTATCAAGGGATGAGATCCGTGACGCAAGTAACTTAAAAGGGAGTAGGGAAAGAAAGTTAAGAACTTAATATTATAATGTTCACCATCACCGATTAAATATATAGAATAAAAGAGTACACAAGGGGGAGGGGTATTAACACTTTACAAGGGGATCATGCACAATCTAGTCTTCTGCTGAAGACTCTTGATCAAGAAGCTAGGTGCCGAGTCCGCGGTGCTTTCTTCGTGGCCTCACGACGTGTCCTCTGAGAATACCGAGCCTACCCGGGCCACAGGTCAGCCAAAACGCAGGTCCACTGGGGGCACCGTCGTGGAGGCCGTCAACCACACGTCCAGCAGGTCTGCTGGCAGGTACTGAGCCACCAAGGCTGGTACGGCCACTCCACGAACGATAAAAGGGGTACGCCCTAGACAGGAGTCTAGTGTGATATCACAAATCACCCTCCTGTCCTCAATACCCCAGTGGATTATCGTCTCCAACAGTCGGTCCCGGGTAAATCCTTTCACTGCCACTCCACTGGCAGGCTAACACACCACAGTGTTCTTCCGGGGGGACGACGTCACAACAGCTGCAGCAAACTTCACAGTATGGAGACTGGCTGCCTCGGGTAGACTGACTCCACCTTCAACACAGTGGTCCCAGGTCGGCTCTGTAAGCAGACACGTCATCAATAACAGGGACACTAAAACACCACACTTACAGGCTCAGACACAAACACCTGGCGTATCCAGTCCATAGATGGCGCTGTCGTCGGAGCACCACCTCACCAGAGGTCAGGAGCGGCGGTGTTGAGCGCTGAACCAGACTGGAAACTGGTCCTCGAGGCCAGTACACGCTGTCCTCACCAGGTGTCGTCGTCCGTTTGGCGGGGGTTTCGGGAGCTGACCCACAGATGGCGTGGTTGTCACAGCTCCAGGCTCGGATGCTGGATCCGGGTTCGTAACATCTGGGTAGAGGGTAGTTTTGTCACTGGTTGGGGCACAGGGTACTGTGCAGCTAGTGTTCACCTCTCATAGTGGCAGGCTCTGTTCCACCTGGGCACGTTGTTTTCCCCTGCCTGGTGGGGATCTGCCCCTTGGTTTTGGTCACGCCCATTTATATGTCGGTGGTCCTCCACTAGGCCCCCGTGAATGTACATGTCCCGGGTGTTCAGCTTTGGCGTTTTGCTTGGCGTCATCTTATGCCAAATACTGTTGCCTCGTATTGTGCGGTGCTGGTGGAACCGCTGCAGCTTGTGTTCGGCATTGATGTTACGGCTGCACTGTTTCACAAGCTGTCTCCTGCATTCTTACATTCTCCGGCAGCTCATGCGCTGCCTGAGTCGTCCTGGTTGTTGAACCAGGTGCTCTCCATTCTCTCTCCTCCTCAGTTTGTAGTGGCCTCTTCAGTTCAGGATTGCTTTTCTAAAGCTCTTTTTTCCTGTTGACATTGGCCTCTGGGGGTCGGGTCAGGGAGCTTTATGTTCTCCTCTGGTGCAGGGGTTTCTGCTTGTTTGGTCCTGGTAGTTGATGTGTTCTTTTGCAGCCATCTCCTTTTCTGGTGAAGAATGAGTCTCCTGCTTTCCGGAGGGGTCCTTGAGTTGTTGATGCTTGGTTGGTTATGCCGGGAGTGCATCATGTGTTGTGTCCGGTTGCAGCTCTCCACCGTTATCTGTGCACCACGGCTTTGGTGGCTAGGGATGCGCTTTGGGTTAACCCGTTTCTTTTTCTTCTCTGTTCCAGGGCTTGGGGGTCTCGGATCACCTGCAAGGTTATTCGGTCCAGCCAGCCTGTAGTTTATCTTTGTGCCCACGATGTTCATAAGTTTGCTGCATTGTTTTCTGTCTTGTCATGTTTTGGGCTAACATTCGGGCACAGGGTTTTTGGAAGTCGAACAGGATCCTGGTCGCTCGCTATTTTGTCAGTGTTCCTGGGCCTCATAGGGCCTGTGTCACATTGGGTCGGCGGTTGCAGCCAGTTGTCTCGATTTCGAGTTGAGGAGTGAGAGTTGACCGCTTCCTGGGTAAATCCCTTTTGTTTTGTTTTGTCTCTGGGTAAGTAGCTCCGGAGAGCCGCAGGGGCTCCCCCCTGAAAACCAGCGTTGAATGTAATGAAGTGCCATTTTCTGGATGAGACCTGAAGGCTCCCCGGCAACCCTCCCTCCCTCTGGTCAGCGGTTTTTCACGTGTTTTGACATCCAGCCTCAGAACTTGGATGTGGGTAGCCAGCGCAGGGATCTGGGGCTCCCCCTTCCACCTCCCCTGGAAGAAGGGGGGGGGGAGGGTTGTGCAGACAGTGGCGTGGCGACGTGGTGAAGTCATGCTCGTTTGCCTGTTTTCACTTGGGGAGTTCTGTCTACTAATTCAGCTTTCAATAGCAATTTTAACCAGAATAGGTGTCTGTTTTGGGGCGCTTACCTTTCTGGGTGCATGACCTGGCTGATGGCAGACAAAGAATGTTTCCAACCACATGGAGGGTTTCAGATAGGCCATTGCTCCTCGTGCCTCTCTGAGGGGGGGCCAGGTTCTGGCTCGTGGTCCCCAGTAGGCCTAGAACTCCATGCACATTGACTGATGCCAAAGTTTAATATATCCATATCAGCCTGGATAGCTCCAGGGAGCCTCTGGGTCTCACCCAGAAAATGGCGTTTCATTACATTGAACTTTTTTTTTAACATAAAAATAGAGCTTTGAATGAAATTGATTGCTCCTTTCTGAGCTGGTCCCTCAGTTGTTCCCTTGGGCCAGGACTTTCCACACACCGTAACCAGTAACTTTTCAAATACTTTAGTCTGGTCATGTAGTTGGGAAGAGGGAAAGTGGTGAAATAACTCGAGCTACAGTACTGCCGAGAGACCAACTTACTATAATAATAATAATAATAATAATAATAATATTATTATTATTATTATTATTATTATAATAATAATATAATATTATTATTATTATTATTATTATTAACAAAATTAGATTCAGCAAACCCCTCCTAGCTAATATTTAGAAGTCAGCATCTGTTCTCACCATAACTACAGGCTGGGCAATAACACACTTACCCAGTTGTCACCAGAAAGCACCATCACTATACCAGGGTGGTCGTAGTGGTTTGTTATATTCACAACTAAAATTATAAAAAAAAAAATCATATAAAGAATGGTTCTTTGCAGGCCGAACCCTTTTGGTTTCTACTCTACTTGAACGACAACAATTTGGGCTCTCTGTTAAGGAAGAGCAAGAATTTGCTAATTTGGTGAAAGGATTGTTAAATGCTGGGAATGTCTTGCCAGCATCTGAGGTCCTGGAAGGGATGATTAAGCCATTTTTGATTGTCTCGAGTGATGATTTGAGCAAGTTAACTTTGCCACTAGAATTACTTAAGGTAAGACATTATGTTAGCTGTTCATGCTATATATCATGTAAAACATAATATAAATTATGTTACCCATTGAATACTTTCTCCATTATTCAGTCTACTTTTTACAAGCTATTAGTTATATTCCCACCAGTTTTCCAAATTGCAATATAACATTTTATTAATAATGAGAACATTTACTCTTTTTATGCAATGTTGCAATTTTCTTACCAAGTGAGGGTTTGTTTTGCTATGCCTATCTTTCTGGGTACCTAACCCCAGACATGAAATGCTCCCAGACACATGGGGGTTTCATAGGCCATTGCTCCCCTGTGCCTCGCTGAGGGGTCCAGGTTCTACCTCGTGATCCTTGGTAGGCAGAACTTCATTGACTGAAGCCCCACACTAATATATCATTGGGCACTATCATTCCGATAGTGCCCAGGGAACCTTCGGGGCTCGCCCAGAAAATGGGGTTTCATTACATTCAATGCTGGGGTTTTCCCAATTTTGGTGCTTTGGGCCCCATGAAAAGTCGTACATTTAAATAATAATGATGAATCTTTAATTATTGTTAGGACATGTAATTCTACTGTTTTACAAATATTATTTGTTTCTCCATAATATTTTGTCAAACTGGTTCTTCTCTCAGAATAGTTAATTTATGAATTTTATTCAATCTTCTATGCTATATTTTGAAAGTGAGATGCTTTAGTCTCTCACACAGTAAATAAGCAAATAAGTAAATAAATATATAAGTAAACTCACACTTAAACCGTTGATGGATATTTAAGTTGTATTTGCACCATGTGTTAAATCTTTAATTATAGTGTGTATGCTAAGAGATTTATGAGAGGATTATAAAGGTATTGGTGTTTTCAATCCTTTTTCAAGTGTTGTAAATTATATTTGTCCACATTTGACATATAATATTCCTTTGGTTGTTTTTAGGCACTCGTGGATCTGAATCCATCTGATATAGTCAAACCTGGTCCATCGCTAGTGAGCCTCATACTAACTTTGGCACATGTGCTTCATGCCACAGCATACTTGCATAGTCAGAGTGCATCTAGTACTCTCTCTGTCAGGATGGTTACTACCAGTGTTCTCGGCGCTATTATGGATAATATCCCACGCAACTCGGAAATATATGAGAAAGGTCAGTTATATTCTTCCATTTCAAGAATAGCCTTGTCAGTAAATGTGTGTGTGCATTAATAACAAGTGTATTACTGTTCTTATTCTGTTGGTGTACATCTTGCTGCTGTTCAGTATGTAATATTGTCCTGAAAATATATTCCTCTATAAGAATTAACACTTTCGAACAGCAGCGACACATGCTGCGTCCATAAATAACTGTACGGATGTGCGATACGGGTGCATCGGTGCGTCCAAAATAAAATATTTTTTAAAATTCAAGTTTTTATTCGATCTTTATGGCACTGGTTTTAAAATATGTACCAACGTGTTCCCATTTTCTGTGCTGGCCAAAATGAAAAACATAGCATGAGAATTGTGGTGACAAAAGTGAAAACAGTATACACATTTTATTGTTCTTGTGAGCTCAAGGGTAACACTCGGCCAATTTCTAAGTTTGATGCGGGTGGCATACCGGGCTTTTGGACCTTATATGCATATACTCCTATAGAGAATTCTATTACGAACATTTTGATACCAAAATGAACGACGTACAATGAAAGTTGAGGTGAGAAACTTGAAAAGAGTAAATTCATTTGTGAGTGCCAATGGGTGCTCGCTCACGGGTAACACTTGTCCGATTTTCGGCTTTGCTGCGGGTCGGGCGTGCAGGGCTTTTGGACCTTATATGCATAGGTCCCTGTAGGGAATTTCTATTGCTAACAAATTGATACAAAAATGAGACGTAGCGCAAGAATTGGTGACAAAACGGAAAAAAGTATACACATATGATTGCTATTTAACACTGACGTTCGGCCGATTTCTGGGCTTGGTGTGGGTGCACGCCGAGCGTTTGGACCTTATATGCATATACCCCTGTAGAAAATTCTATTACGAACATTTTGATATCAAAATGAATGACGTACAATGAAAATTGGGGTGGTACAACTGAAAAGAGTATTCAGTACACATTTCAGTGTTGCCACACGCTCATGGGAAACGCTCGGGCCATCTTAGGGTAGTCTTGCGTGCGCACGCCCAGAACACGAAAATGTTAATTATGAAAAGTATACCCAGCTCATCAGATATTCTGGGACAACTTCCCTTGGCGGCTTCCCAATATAGCTCGAAGCCCTTGTGAGTGACTAGCACCAATCAGAGATAACACATGATCAAAGGAGGAACTGGATAATAAACATGAGGGTTTCACCATGGGTTCTGAGAGAATGTGCATCTGAGCTCAGCGTTCCACTTCAACTCATTTTTTCAAGCATCCCTGTTTACAGGAGTTGTAGCTGATGTGTGGAAAAAGGCTAACATAGTTCCAATCTACAAAAGTGGCGGTAGGGAAGACCCCCCTTAATTATAGACCTGTATCATTGACAAGTGTCATAGTCAAAATATTGGAAAAAATAATTAAAAGTAAATGGGGAGAATACCTGGAGAAAAACTATATAATATCACAGTATGGTTTTCGATCTGGAAGATCCTGTGTAATGAACTTACTCAGTTTCTATGATTGAGCCACAGAGATTTTACAGGAAAGAGATGGTTGGGTTGACTGCATCTATCTGGACCTAAAAAAGGTTTTTGACAGTTCCACATAAAAGGTTGTTCTGGAAACTGATTGGAGGGGTGACAGGTAAGCTTCTAACATGGATGAACAATTTCCCGACTGACAGAAAAATGAGAAACGTAATCAGAGGCAATGTATCAGATTGGAGGAATGTCACAAGTTGAGTTCCACAGGGTTCAGTTCTTGCACCGGTAATGTTCATTGTCTTCATAAACGATCTACCAGTTGGAATACAGAATTATATGAACATGTTTGCTGATGATGCTGAGATAATATGGAAGATAAGAAACCTAGATGATTGTCGTGCCCTTCAAGAAAACCTGGACAAAATAAGAATATGGAGCAACACTTGGCAAATGGAATTTAATGTGAATAAATGCCATGTTATGGAATGTAGAATTGGAGAACATAGACCCCACACAACCTATAAATTATGTGAGAAATCTTTAAAGAATTCTGGCAAAGAAAGGGATCTAGGGGTGGTTCTAGATAGAAAACTGTCACCTGAGGACCACATTAAGAACATTGTGCGAGGAGCCTATGCTACACTTTCTAACTTCAGAATTGCTTTTAAATACAATACTAAAGAAATTGTTCACGACTTTTGTTAGACCAAAGCTGGAATATGCAATGGTTGTATGGTGCCCATATCTTAAGCAGCACATCAACAAACTGGAAAAGGTGCAAAGACATGCCACTAAGTGGCTCCCAGAACTGAAGGACAAGAGCTACGAGGAGAGGTTAGAGGCATTAAATATGCAAAGCTAGAAGATACAAGAAAAAGAGGCGATATGATCACTACATACAAAATAGTAACAGGAATCGATAAAATTGATAGGGAAGAATTCCTGAGACCCGGAACTTCAAGAACAAGAGGTCATAGATTTAAACTCGCAAAACAAAGCTGGTGGAGAAATATAAGAAAATTCACTTTTGTAAACAGAGTGGTAGACAGTTGGAACAAGTTAGGTGAGAAGGTGGTGGAGGCCAAAACCATCAGTAACTTCAAAGTGTTGTATGGTAAAGAGTGCTGGGGAGACAGGTCACCACGAGCATAGCTCTCATCCTGTAACTACACTTAGGTAATTACACTTAAGTAATTACCTGCCTGATAGCCCGCCCACCCACCCACCTGTTCACACACCCACCCACTTACCTGCTCAAACCTGTTCACACACCAAGCCCATCTGCCTGCCATCCACCCATCCAAAAACTACCTGCCTGAACCCACCTATCCCTGCCTGCCCACCCACCCACCTGCCCACCTACCAGCTCGGTAGCTAACCACCTCCCCAGCCCTACACACTAATTAGTGTGTGTCAATTCAAATCATGATTGTGGTATAAAAATTGTTGGAAATGTTCCCTTTTGGACTCAAAGGTGAAAATGTACATTAATCCAGAAAACGTGATAATCTGGCTGGTTCTTCCAATATAGTCCGGATTAGCGAGTGGATACAGTACCTAATACTGTCGCCTCGCATCGTGCGGCGCTGGTGGAGCCGCTCCAGCATGCGTTCAGGGTGGATATCACTTTTTACCCATTCCTTAAGCTTTCTTGTGTTTTGTTTCACCTCTGGCCTGCTCATGCGCCGCCTGAGCCGTCCTAGTCCTTGAGCAGGGTGCTCTCCTATCTTTCCTCTCCTCAGTTTGTGGTGGCCCCTTCAGTTCAAGATTGTTTTTCCGAGGCTCTGTGTCTGTTGGCATTTGCCTCTGGGGGTCGGATTGGGGAGCTGCATGCTCTCCTCCGGTGCAGGGGTTTCTGCTCTTTCAGTCCTGGTGGTAGGTTCAATTGCAGCCTTCTCCTTTTCTGGCGAAGAATGAGACGGCTGATTTCCGGAGGGGTCCTTGGGTCATTGATGCCGAGTTGGTTAGACCGGGAATGCATCATGTGCTGTTAAAAACCTCCGGTCAGCAGTTTTTCGCGTTGTTTGATGCTTAGCTTCCGAGCTGGAGTGCTGGGTAGCTGACACGGGGAGGTCTGGGTCTCGCCTCTCCCCCTCTCGGTGAGGGGAGGGCTTTGCAAACAAGTGGTACGGCAGTGGAGTGTGACGTTTGCTTGTTTTCTTGGAATTGGAAGGAGTTCTACCTCTCTGTACTTTTCTTATGATGTGGGGTTTGTTTTGTTATGCCTACTTTTCTGGGTGCCTAACCCTGGTCGATGGCAGATAAGGAAATCCCCCAACCATAGAAAGTTTTCCAGGGCCATTGTTCTCTGAAACATCTCTGAGGGGGGCCAGGCTCTGACTAGTGGTCCCCTGTAGGTCAAACTCCATAGACTAATGCCCGGGTCTAATATATCACACATTAGCCCGATAGCTCGAGGGAGCCTTGGGGGCTGACCCAGAAAATAGCGTTTCATTGCATTCGACGCTGGTTTTCTTGACCCTACCTGCTCTAGCCAGGCTAACCTACTCTTGCTTGGAGACATATTTTCTACTTACAAATTGTACCAAGAATAGTCAAAATAGTGGAAATATATGATCTGAAAATTACTCTTTGGGATCTGATTAAGATTTCACGGTGACTGCTTACATGAATCTTGATCAAATCGGAATTCTAGAGGGTTGATCCTGGGAAATTTGGTAATTATTTGGTGGGTTTCATTATGAAGAGGTTGCAGTGTATAAGTTATTATTGTTCATTGATGAAATATTTGTAATAGTCATTTTTATTTCCAGATATATCTGTGCTTAGACAACTTGTAGTGAAATATAAGTTACATCCACGCAGCATAATACCACTAGCTCAAATTCTCGAAGTAAAAGAATGCAGAGTTTCCAGTTCGGATGTTGCGCTTTACATGATAATGAAGATGGAGTTAAGAGTTCGACGTGGAGAGCATCTCAAAATTGATAGTACTGATAAGGACTTTGAGGCTATTTTTGAAATTTCAAAATCTGAGTGGAATTTTGCACTATTGCAGGTAATTAATGATGTCCATTTATATATATATTTTAAATGTTCAAACAATATTAATATTGCTTAAACAATCCTGTATATGACTCACTCTGTTAGGTACCATAGTTCACCTCTGTACAGACTATGGCACAAGACTGTTATGAAACTTTTACGTGTGCAATGAAAGTCTATTCTGTGGAGAGCCCCTCCGGCTCCCCGGAGCTTACTGGGCCGATATGTTTGTATTAGACCATGGCATCAGTCAATTCGATTGGAGTTCTATGCCTACCAGGGACCACGAGTCTAAATCTGCCCCCTTCCCCCCTCAGAGAGGCATGAGGCGCAAATGGCCTATAGAAACCCCTATGTGGTTGGAAGCATTCCATGTCTGGCTTTAATCGGGTTAAGCACCCAGAAAGGTAGGCATCCCAAAACAAACATCCCTCCCTCCAAACTCCCTCCCTCCCTCCAAACTCCCTCCATCCCTCCCTCCCTCCGGTTGGCAGTATTCACATTTTTTTATATACAGCCTCAGAACTGAGGTTGGAGGGCTGGTGTGGGGGGGGGTTTGGGCTCCCCCTCCCAAGGAAGGGGAAGCTGTGCAGACAGTGGCACGACGGCAGTTGTGACGTCATGCTTGTTTGCTTGTTTTGGGATTGGGAGTTATGCTTGATAGTTTGGCTTTCAGTAGCAAATTTTAACCAGGTGTTGTTTATTTTGGGACGCCTACCTTTATGGGTGCCTAACCCGGTCGATGGCAGACATGGAATGCTTCAAACCATATGGGGGTTTCTATAGGCCATTGCTCCTCATGACTCTCTGAGTGGGCCAGGTTCTGGTTCCTTGTCCCAGGCATAGAACTCCAATTGAATTGAATTGACTGATGCCATGGGCTAATACATACATATCAGCCTGGTAAGCTCTGGGAATCCTCCGGGACTCACCCAGAAAATGGCGTTTCATTTCATTCAAGGCTGGTTTTTTGTAATAGTAGCATTCTTGATAAATCTAGATGATAATGTTTAATTATTTTACAGCTGTTACCTCACTGTACTGATAATGAGTGGACTTCTGCATTCTTCCTTACTCACCGTATTTTGCAGTCAGAACATACGGTATGTAAACAAGTATCCAGAATGGCATTTTATGCATGGTTACTATCTTTGTTTAGCCTTATAAGATGTGAGATAGATCTAGACAAAAGCTTTAATAAATGTATTGGATATGTAAATTAGGTTCCATTTGAGGCGGATTGTCTTTTACTCGACCTCTGTAATTTTGCAGGACTTCACCAAACTGTTATCATAATTTTTTAGGGAGCCCCCTTGTTGGCTACCTGAAGCTATACCACAAAGATAGCTTTCCTTTACTAAGTCAGGTCAGTCATAAGTATCTTGTTGGTGTACCAGGGACAAAAGCAGAACCTGTCCCCCTCTTGAAGAGGCAGAGAGAGCAAGGGTTCGTTAGAATCACCCTCAACAGGTAAGCAACCAGAATTTAGAGTAGACACTACAGAGACAATGACATAGTGAATCCCACTTCATTTTGAAGGCAAGTGATGGCAATCCTTTGGACTGTGTCTTGTGGTGGCCATTTGCTTGTGTATCACTCCTAACCTTTAGTATTTGCTTGTGAGAGTGTTACAAGCCTTGTTGTATGACTTGGTTTGCTCTATGCTACGAGCTACATGTGTTTAGGATGACCCTTCTCTACCCTAGGCCACTGGGGTGGAGAGCTTCACCCTGGGTAGTGTATTAGTTGTGAGACCTCTGCGAGATCCTATGGTTGGGGCGTGCTATTTCTTTACATATTGGGTGTTTTAGGTTATTTGCACTTGTTTATACAGATCTCTGCATAAATGACAATGTGATGTCTTATTACAGACAAGTGTTAAAATGTAGGGGAAAAAAAAGTGTTTTTAGAAAGATTCTTAGTAAGACAAGCAAGCAGTGAGCCACAAGCAGGTCCTAGTGGTGTGCAGGCAAAACATGCCAGAGAGTGTATCCCAGAAAAGTCATCACTGCCTGATGTTATAATGGAAGGGGACTTCCCTTCCAAATAGTAACACCTCTCCTCCCCCCTCATCACCATCTTCCATACGCCATCAAGAGTCTTCCATAAAGGTAAGATAAACATTTGTACTGTATTGTAGTTAGAGAACAAAATTGTATTCAGTATAAAATGTATTTGTAAGTTAATATTTTGGAGGGTGGGAAACGGATTAATTCAATTCCCTTTATTTCTTATGGGAAAAATCGCTTCGACTTACGATACTTCAACTTACGATCCGTCTCTGGGAACGGATTACTATCGTAAGTCGAGGCCCCATTGTATTTAGGAATCCATTTCTTTGCTAGCCTGTCTTGCAATGTCGTTCATAAATAGATTTTTACAATAATCACATAGATTATAGTACCCAATAACCTCATCACATAGAAAGCAATTAAAAAGATAACATAATTTTTTCATGGATCTAGAATAATTCCATTACTTATATATAGTTATATGATACATCATTTGTATAAATCTGTGAAATAATAATTAAAATCAACACGTCACAATAATTGCACTTTAAAAACTAAATAAAATTTTAAACCTTAATGTTTTTTTATTTTTTTTTAACTTTTAGGCATATCCTACACTGCAAGCATTCCAGAAAGTGCTGTATCTTGTGTGCAAGCAAAACAATCTATTGACCCTACAATCAGTAGGCTCCTCGACCAAAGATGAGTTGGATAAATGTGCATCTTCGCAGGCTGCTTCTGTATCCATTCAACACTGCTTCAGATGTTTCGCTTCTGCTGGAATGGTAAAGTACTAAGCATTTCATGTTTAGTATGTGTGTGTGTGTGCGTGTAATTACCCTAGTGTAGTTACAGGATGAGAGCTATGCTCATGGTGTCATGTCTTCCCAGTAGTCTTTGTCATATAATGCTATGAAACTACTTTTGAAACAAGTTTGAAACTTTGAAACAAAAGCTATGTTTTTGCCCTCCACCATTTTCTCACTTGTTCCAATGGTCTACTGCTCTTTTTGCAAGAGAAAACTTTCTAATAATTTTTTGGCACCCTTGTTTCCTTAGCTTGAATCTGTGACCTCTTGTTCTTGAGGTTGCCAGTTTCAGGAATTCCTGTTATTCAATTTGATCGATTCCTGTTATTATTTTATAAGTAGTGATCATATAACCTCTTTTTCTGTTATCTTTAAGTTTTGGCACAATTAATGCCTCTAGCCTCTTCATAATTTTTTTCAGTCCTGGAAGTCATTTAGTAGCATGCCTTTGCACCTGTTCCAGTTTACTGATGTGCTTCTAGATATATGGGCAACATACAACTGCTGCATATTGCAATTTTGATCTCACAAAAGTCATGAACTGTTTCTTTAATATGTCACCATCTTGTAACGAAAAGCTATTCTGAAGCTGGGAAGTACAGCATATGCTCCTCTGTGTCCTTTGTGTTCCTCTGGTAACAGTTTACTATTCAGAAACCAACCTTAGATATCTTGAGTTCTTTAATTCCTTTCCACATAATTTGTAGTTGTGCGTGGCCAGTTTTCTCCTATTGCACATTCCGTATCATTCCATTTATTTGTATTGAATACCATTTGCCACATGGTGCTTTGAGCACTTAACACTATCGGTAACTTTGGACCGGACTCGCGTCCATTATTTTTCTCCAGAGTCCTAACTTTGGACCGGACTTGGGTCCATTATGCCCGTTGCTGACGCTGGGGCTTTGGTGGGGGGTGTCTGTTCGGTGGCACGTTTTCCTGTATCGAGGGTGTCTTGTGCTCGCCTCCTTGTGCTTGCAGGATTGGGTTGTGGCTTTTTGGTTCCGCCTGTCCCCTGACGAGCGGATTCTGTGCTTCATGGGCGCTTTCTTCTCTGCTCTTGGGGCTGTGTATGGGGTCAGCCCAAGTTGGGCTGCCTAATGTGTTCCTTTCATTGCCTGTTACACTGCACACGTTTCTTCTACCGTCCCTGTGGCTCGGTTGGGTACTCGGTTTCTGCCTGTGTTCTCTTGTGTGCCACTCGTGTTACGATTTATCTTTATCTTCCCTGTCGCTTCCTCAGGGAGTGTGGTGACATTTTGCTGTGGTTTTGGTACTGCGGCTGCGTGTTTGGCATTTTGTTCGGCCCTTCCGTGCTCCCTCTGGGGCCCTCCTTCCTTGCCGGTCTTGCTGTGCCTGGCCTGGTTTTTCCATGTTCCTTGGATTCTCTGTCCTGTCCTCGTTGTCCTCGCCTCGTTGTGCTGGCTGGGGATGAGCTTGGGGTCTTAGTCTCGCCCCTCGCCTATCCTCCGGTTTCGATTCAAGTTCCAGAGCCCTGTGGGCTCCCCTCCTTAGTGTCTTTCACGGCCGCCCCGGGGTTTTTCTTGACGCTGGGGCTTTGGGGGGACTGCTCGGCCCTGGGGCCTGCAGAGTGGGTTCCTGGGGCTGGGGTGGGGCTAACGTGGGGGGCCTCGGGCCCCGTTGGTCCCCGCCGGAGTTTTTCTACCCCCTCTGGGCGGGGCTTGCGGTTTTGTGGAGTGAGGTTTTTCCGTTCCCCCTCTTCACACGTGCTTTTTGGGCATCGGCCCCTCCCTGGGCTCGGTTTCCTTGTCCATTATGCCCGTTGCTTCCGTCCTGTCGGTGGGTGCTCTTCTACGGTCTTCGCCCCTTTTTTCCGGGACGGGCCTTTTCCGTCATGTCCCCCTCTTCTTGGGGTTCTGCGTAACTTTTGGTCTCGGGTGCGACGGGGTTTTTGTGCCTTCGTCCTTTGTGTTTGCTTCTTGTTCTTTTGTTCATATCTCTTCCCTTCGCGCTGTCTCGGCACTGCTCGTTTTCCTGGGTTGATTTTGCTCCTCTTAATGAGTGTCTTCACTCCTGCCCTTCTGCGGGATGTTGGTGCGGGGTGGCTACTTATGCGGGTTCCTTCCCTGTCGGCTGCACTTTTGGCGGTGGAATTGCACGCTTGTGGCATTTTGGTTTTGGTCCTGCATTTCTTTTCCCTCCTGGGGCTGTCATAGGATTGGCTTGCGGAGGATGTAGAGGCGCTTGGGGTCGTTCCTGGGTCTGGCACCTTGGTTTCTGCTGCTAGCTTTCGGTATCGATGTTCCTTCTGCACCGTTTCACAGGCTGTCTCGTGCATTGTTTCACCTCTGGCCTGCTCATGCAATGCCTGTGCCATCCTGGTCTTGGACAGGGTGCTCTCCTGTTTTTCTTCTCCTTGGTTGTTGTGGCTCCTTCGGTTCAGGTTTGCTTTGCTTCGGCTTTCTTTTTATGTTGGCATTGGCCTCTGGGGGTCGTGTGGCAGAGCTTCATGCTCTTCTCAGGCGCAGTGGTTTTTGGCTCCTATGGTCGTGGTCATAGGTTTCTTCGTCTGCAGCCGGTCTCCCTTTTTCTGGTGCATGATGTGCCTGCTGCTTTCTGGAGGGGTCCTTGGGTTGTTCTCTTGACTTCGTGTTGAGGAGTGGTGCACCGTCTGCCTCCCGAGTATGTCCCCTTGTTTTCTTAGGTAGTCTTTGGTGAAGTAGCTCCGGGGAGCTGTAGGGGCTCCCCCCAGAAAACCAGCGTTGAAGGTAATGAAACGCCATTTTCTGGGCGAGTCCCGGAGGCTCCCCGGCACCCTCCCGCCCTCTGGTCGGCGTTTTTTTCGCGGTTTTGATATCCAGCCTCGGAACTGGGGCTGGGATCGCCAGCACGGGGGTCTGGGGCTCCCCTTTCCCCCTCCCGGGGAGGGGGGAGCTGCGCAGACATGCGGCGCGGCTCGTATGACGTCATGCTTGTTAGTTCGTTTTTCTGGGGGAGTTCTGTCCACTCGTTTGTCGATTTTTGTTGTTAACCAGAATAGGGGTTTGTTTTGTGGCGCTTACCTTTCTGGGTGCCTGTCCCAGTCGATGGCAGATATAGAATGCTCCAAATCACATGTGCAATTCTATGGGCCATTGCTCCCCGGGCCTCTCTGAGGGGGCCAGGTTCTGGCTCGTGGTCCCTGGTAGGCCTAGAACTCCACCCACATTGACTGATGCAAAATAGTTAGGGTATCCATATCAGCCATGGATAGCTCTGGGGAGCCTCCGGGACTCGCCCAGAAAATGGCGTTTCATTACATTCAACGCTGTTTTTTTTCTGAAAATCCATAAGCACATTACATTTCCTACCTTGGTTTATTTGACTCTTGTTGAGATTATTTGCCCTGAAAATATTTGCTGTAGTTAATATTACTGTACAAGGTAAATATAAAGCTATCTTTAATACTGTAATACACTGTACATTATTCTGTATAATTCTAATATTTGGAAGTTATATTAGAGAGCAAGTTGCAGTATTCCACTTGGATTAATGCTATGTTTTATTGTTACTATTATTATTACTACTTCCTTACTTGTATTACTTTTATTATTTACACTATCTCTCTTAGACAAAACAGATAAGAGACAAAAATGATGTATACTAATAATATTTATAACTGATTTTTCTGCAGGTTTATGTTGAGGAACTTCTACGGTCACTGCCTTGTGATAAAAGCTTCCAGTCAATTTGCAGTATATTCAAGTGGTGGTGTCGTGTGGTACCCATGTACCAATGTGATCCTGATTTGCCATCGCTTTTCTTAGTCCGTCTTTGTACTACCGTGGAGGAGATGGTCTCTTCTGGAAAGGTGAAATTACCTATGCAGAAGATTGAGTTAAGTGGCCATTATGAAAAGAATCAATCAAATACTAATGGTGTAGAGGAAAGTGAACAACAGAAAGGTCATAAAATAGATATATTGCTCAAGGCAAAACATGAAATAAATGGGAAGGAAAATACTGAATCAAGTGAAAGTTATTATGATGTAAATGAAACAAAGGACAAATGTGCGAGTCTTAATAATTATGTTAAACTATGTAATGGGTTTCATGAGGAAGATCCTATTGAGCCAACTCTTGCAGGTGTGAAGGGTGAAAGTGAAAATTTAGTGTTTTCAAAAGACAAAGTAGAAATTTCTGACTTGCAGCCTGGAACCTGTAAGGAATTTGTAAAGGGGTCTGTAAATGAAATGCAGGAAAATGGTTGCCTTCAAAACATCATTAATGATAAGAAAATAAATATTTCCAATAATGACAGCTCCAGTAGTAAAAATAAACAAATGAAAACAGGAGTTCACATAAGTTCCTTAGATTTTAAAGCCGAGATTGAGGAAATGATATTTTCTTTGGTTAAGTATGTACCAGTGAGTAACTTAGCATCTTGTATTGCTAGCAAACTGAAAAAGCTTCATGAATTATAAAGGAGAATGAACACAATTATTTTTTCTTTGTGTTTAACAATTTAAAGCATTAATAATTACTGGAGGCATTTGTAATTCCATTTATATTACCCATTTTCCTAGAATCCAGTAGGAAGCAAAGTGTGAAGCCTTCCAATCATTGTTAGCCTTGAACACCTCTGTATACTTCTATACTAACATGTTTCTTGGCCAGCATCTGCTTCAATCTGTGCCTATGGACATTTCAAATCTCTCTTACATTTTATTGTTTATACTGTTCACTTTGTTGCTTTATTTGAAATCTTTACCTTCTGTGTACTCATTTGGTTCATGGCTGATGCAGAATAAATTTCCAGTACTTCACTTAATTTACCGAAGTACTGTAAGTTCTTTCATTCCATAATCCTTTTTCTCTTTCATGCATTAGAGGCAACTGTCTCGCCCTGCCTCAATGCTCGCACTCCATTCTTAATTAGCTCCAGTCCAGTCTTCATATTCAGTTATTTTCCTGATACTGTATTAAATTTTGTCTTTTATTCCAACTTTTCCCTATTTTGTTTTTATTACCATTTAAGGTGAGCTTTGGATGTGTGTTTACATCATACACATGGTGTAGGTGGAGGCAGGTTCACTGCCTATATATTATGCTCTGGTTTTATAGGCGTTTCAGTCATTACATCTTTTTTCTTGACTGCGTTTAAAAAATGTGCCTTATCTTCCAGAATGATTTTTTTTGTTAACATACTAAACAAATTTATGATGATTTCAGAAAATATATATACATAACAAATATTTTTGGTTTTAATATGTACATAATTATACAAAAATTATGCAATTGTAATTCCAATTTTGGTCCTGCTGGCCAATTCCCAAAATTTGAGAAATGTTTCAAAAAGAAAAAGTAACTCACAAATCTGCATATTTACACCAATTTACAAAATTTATACTGTATAATTATCGAGTGGATTTATAGAATTTTTTTCTGGGGGAAGCCCCGTCGGTTCCCCAGAAGTCCGTTGGCTCCCCGGAGCTATCCAGGCTGATATGTATCTATTAGCTTTCTGGCATCAGTCAAAGTGCATGGAGTTCTTGCCTACCGGAGACCACGAGTCAGAACCTGGCCCCCTCAGAGAGACATGAGGAACAATGGCCTATAGAAACCCTCGTGTGGTTGGGAGCATTCCATGTCTGCCATCAACCGGGTCTGGCACCCAAAACAAACCCCCTATTCTGGTGAAAATATTGCTACCGAACGAGTGGACAGAACTCTCCAAACGAAAATTAGCAAACGAGCATGAGGTAATCACGTTGCCGTGCCGCTGTCTGTGCAACCCCCCACCCCTCCCCGGGAGGGGGAAGGGGGAGCCGCAGACCATTGCGCTGGAGATCCAACTGGCAGTGTGCCTCTGGCTCCTGCTTTGATTTCAGTTAAGTTCACTTGTCTAAGGGTGTCAATCACTGGTTATGCCTCCGCCATGCTGCCTATCAGGTCGGTGATTCTTTTGACCCGGATTCGTGCGACGTTTGTTCTTTGTATGTGCTGCAGTTCACTCGAGCTCTTGAATATGATATGAGGGTGCAGGCAGCAGAGGCATTGTATGCTCAGTTTAGGTTGCTGCAACGCGATATGTTCGTTGCTTCCCCAGATGCCCGGAAATTGCCCCGTTTTGGTTATAGGGACCTGGACTTGAGGGTGGGATTCACTTTGACTTTGGTTCTGTCCACCCCTCTTTGTCGTTCCGCTTCGGTGGTTTGGGGGAGTCCCCTTCCAGGGTGGGGCAGAGGCATTCGAGCCTAGTCTTCCAGCCGGAGCTTCTGGGTCTGACCAGTGGGCACCCTTTGTCCCTGCTTTTTCGGCTGCTTCTAACTTTTCTTTAGAGCCGTGGTGGGGGGGAGGGGGATAGGGTTATAGGGCGACTCAGCCCTGGGTCCTCAGAGTGAGGTTTCTGGCGCAGGGGGAGGGGGGTCCTCAGGGTGGGGTTTCTGGGGCAGGGGAGGGGGTTTTCTTGGGGGCTTTGGGCCCTATTGGACCCCGCCAAGGTTTTTGTAGCCTTGGAGCGGGGCTTGGTGTTAAAAGGAGAGGGGGTTCTCTTTCGTTCCCTCCTCGTACGAATTGGATTGGGTGTCTTTCCCTCTCCGGGTTCGGTTTCATGATCCTGTGAGTTCCTCTGTCCCATCCTTTCGGAGGTTTTCGGCTTCCCGCTTCCTGTCACATGTGGTGCGGGAAGCCCTTGCGGCTTTCCTCCTGCGCGACCCAGATTATGCTTTCGTGATGAATCCGCGTTCCTTTGTGTGTGGATTTTCGTGTCTGTACTGGGTTCGTCATCAAGTTCTGAAGTTGTCCTGATTTAAAGACTGCCCACTCTTCTCGTTGGAGGCTTGGCATACGTTCTGTCGGTCCAGCGCTCTTGCATGGAAGGAGGCTCAGACAGCATTGCAGGTTTTCCTGGGGGGCGATTTGAGCATCTCGATGCATGGTTTTTTCGCCCCCTGCCCTTCCGCAGGATATTGGTGTGATGCAGCTTTATGGACCATCCAGGACTGTTATCTTATGCTGAATACTGTCGCCTCGTATCGTGCAGCGCTGATGAAGCCACTCCAGCTTGAGTTCGGTTTCGATGTTACGTCTGCCCCATTCCGCAAGGTGTCTCGTGCGTTGTTTCACCTCCGGCCTGCTCATGCACCACCTGAGCCATCCTTATCGTTGGACTGGGTGCTCTCATTTCTTTCTTCTCCTCAGTTTGTAGTGGCCCCTTTGGTTCGGGATTGTTTTTCTAAGGCTCTTTTTTTTTTTTTCCTGTTGGCATTGGCCTCTGGGGATCAGGTCGGGGAGCTTGATGCTCTCCTTCGATGCAAGGGTTTCTGCTCTTTCGGTCCTGGTGGTAAGTTTGTTTGGTTGCAGCCGTCTCCTTTTCTGGCAAAAAATGAGACTGCAGCTTTCCAGAAGGGTCCTTGGGTTGTTGATGCTTGGTTGGTCAAGCTGGGGGTGCATCATGTGTTGTGTCCGGTTGCGGCTCTATGCTTTTATTCGTGCACCACGACTTTGGTGGCCTAGGATGCAGTTTGGGTTTTCCTCCTTCCCTGTTCCTGGGCTCGGGTCTCCCAGGTTGTCCGTAGGGTTATTAAGTCTAGCCAGATTGCGGTCTATCCTCGTGCCCACAACATTAGTAAGTTTGCTGCCTTGGCTGCTGTCTTTGGCAACATGTCTTGGGTTAACATTCGAGCAGAGGGTTTTTGGAGATCAAACAGGGTCCTAGCCACTCGCTACCTTGTCAATGTCCCTGGACCTGGTAGGGCATGCATTGCATCGGGTCGGCAGTTGCAGCCAGTTATCTCAACTTCACGTTGAGGAGCGAGGGTTGACCGCCTCTCCGGTAAGTCGCTGTGTTTTAGTGTCTTTGGGTAGTTAGCTATGGGTAGCCGATGGGGCTTCCCCCAGAAAACAGGCATTGAATATAATGAACATTTACTGGGTGAGGCCTGGTGGCTCCCCGGCATCCTTCCCTCCCAGTCCGCTGTTTTCTCGCTTGTTTTTGACATCCAGCCTAAGAACTGCCGGTTGGAATTACTGGCGTGAAGGTCTGGGGCTCCCTGTTCCCTTTGCAGCTCCCTGAGTTTGCAAAGACAGCGAAATGGCAACGTGATGACGTCATGCTCGTTTGCAAATTTTTGTTTGGGGAGTTCTATCTACTCGTTCTAATCTACAGTTCTAAAGGGAGTTCTAATCTACACCAGAATAGGGATTTGTTTTGGGGCGCCTACCTTTCTGGGTACCAGACCTGGTCGATGGCAGATATAGAATGCTACCAACCACACAGGTTTCTATAGGCCATTGCTCCTCGTGCCTCTCTGAGGGGGCCAGGTTCTGGCTCGTGGTCCCCGGTAGGCAAGAACTCCATACACTTTGACTGATGCCAGAAAGCTAATTGATACATATCAGCCTGGATAGCTCCCGGGAACCTCTGGGTCTCGCCCAGAAAATGGCGTTTCATTACATTCAATGCAGGTTTTTTGAGGATGGGCTGAACAGTGGGTTGTTTAATTAATCAGTGAGGTTGCTCCACACCTATAGGTCACATCACCCCTTTGGGATGAGTCCAGAATGAACCGAAGATCCACACAGTCCCGTTTCGCAACTGGAAACAAGCGGGAAACCCATTTGAGAGATAAAGTCGTTTCAACCTTGCCCAAGCAAACCCACTTCGAGATGACTTAACAAAGGGACGGGGAAAGAGGCCTGTCCCATCAGACCTCCCCCCCCCCCCCTATGGGAGGAAGAGCTGCCCAACGGCACCAAAGGGCAAAAGAGACGACTCGAAAAGCTCAATATTTATGGGGACCAAGCGCGGGCAAAAAGAGCCAGCCTCCTCCCCCATTGCCTCGTCAATGGGACGACCCACAAAAGGGCCAACATACAGAACTTGAAGCGCAAACCCTGGCACGGGCACCACGAGAGGTCCTAGAATCCCCCCCCCCCCCCCCCCCCCTGAGCATCATCAAAGCCATCAACAAAAACTGTGCAACACAGTCCTCTGGGAACAACAGAAGACAGAATGGTGGCGAAGGCTGCAGAGCCAGGGCCCGAGCAGAATCCAGAGAGAGAGAGCAAGGATGGCCTGCCAACATGCAAGGCCAGAGGTGAAAAATAGAGAAACTGCCTCCTGGAGGATCGGCGCAAACAGCTTCAGCAGGGCAGACTATGCCACAGCAGCCGAGGGGCCCCCCTCACTTAACACCCCCACATCCTCCGAAAGCCAATCCAAAGACAGCTCCAGAAGACCAAAGAAGCACAATACTGAGGCCAAATGTCCGCGAGTCTGCAGGTCATCAGCCGCCAAAGCAGCTGAAAGATAATGAATCTGAGCATGCAACTGCACTAGACCCAAATCACGAGAAAGCACCGGGGGGAAGACCCTGCAAACACACAATGTAACTGTCCCTATTTTCCGCTTGTTACAACTTGCAATAAAGTTGTTACATCTTGTTATTATTTTTTATGACTTTTAGAATGTTACAACTTGCTATATTGGTTGTTACAACTTGTTAGGTGTTAAAACGTGTTCGAACATTGTAATGTCGTAGTTTTTTTTTAGTATGTTTGGCGGGGAGGCACTCGTTGAAGTCCAATGAACCCTCCCCTCCAAGAATATCTGCAACACCGAAGAAACCCCTTGCACTCAAGCGTGCAGGTACACCAAAACCCCTGCCAAGATCCAAGAGAGAAGAAAGGGCAGTCTGCCAGCCAGGAAGACTCCGGAACCTCATAACAACCAGGCAGTTGGACAACCAGGTTGTTGGGAGCTGGTCGGCCGAGCGGACAGCACGCTGGACTTATGATCCTGTGGTCCCGGGTTCGATCCCGGGCGCCGGCGAGAAACAATGGGCAGAGTTTCACCCTATGCCCCGGTTACCTAGCAGTAGAATAGGTACCTGGGTGTTAGTCAGCTGTCACGGGCTGCTTCCTGGGGGTGGAGGCCTGGTCGAGGACCGGGCCGAGGGGACACTAAAGCCCCGAAATCATCTCAAGATAACCTCAAGATAACCAGTACAAGAGTTCTTACATTCTTGTACATGTAAGTCATAATTGCCATCAACCGGGAAGGGCACCCAGAAAGATAGGCGAAACAAAACAAACCAGCTGGTAAAAATTGCTACCTACATCTGAACAAAGCAAAATAACTCCCCCCCCCCCCCAAAGAAAACAAACAAGCAATATGTCATCCAACTAGCACAACCGCTCCCTAGCGCCACTTTCACATGTCTTGCATGTAAGACATGTAAGAGTTCTTATA